TTTAAGTAGTTGAAGTTTGTAGTTGACTTTTCTGATTCATCTTATGATTTTGTATGGTCCCAATTTTTTGAAATCAAGTTTTTCACTAGATCTTTTAATTTTGATATTTTGTCAAATTAGAAATACTTTTTCCCCTTCTTTCAAGATTAGTGTCTTCTGGCATCTTTTGTTGTGATAGTGCTTTATCCTCTTATTCAGGAATTTGATATCTAGTCTTATCTGATTTTGCAGTTCTCATAGTTATGTTACTGTAAGTTCTGCTTCTTGAGCTTTTTATCATGCAATTCTTGATTATTTTTATATTTCTAGTTCCCTGCTGTAGTTCTTGTAGAATGGTGTCATTCCCATGATACTGTTCTTTGCTCTGTTGTAAGCTAATTGTGCCATAGACAGTAGCATAATTCAATTATTCTGTTGATAGTTAACATATTCTTGCAGATATTACTTCAAGATTTGATTCAATTGTTCTGTCTGTCCATCTGTTTGTAAATGATAGACTGTTGACATTTTTTGTTCAATTTCCAGTTGTGTCATTAACATTATCCAGAATTTGCTTGTGAATCTGATGTCTCAATCTGTGATTATCTCTTCTGGCATCCCATAGTTGATGAGTATATTTTGTAGTACCATCATTACTGTGTCTGGTGCTGTTGTTTCCTCTCTAAATAGTATAAAGTATCTATATTTTGTCAATCTGTTGATAACCACTAATATTAAGTTGTACTTCTTTTTTTTTATATTCTTTAAGTTCAGAAGTTTCATAATGAAGTCCATTGCTATAGATTTCTATAGTTCTTGCAGTTGCAGTATTGGTTGCAGTTTTTTATATAGTTGATTTTTGTTAGCTTTGCTTCATGCACATATCTTATATTCTTTAACATGTTGTTGAATATCTGTCTACATTTCTGGCTAATAATAAGTTCTTGTAATCTTCTTCATTATCTTGTTGATCCCAAAATGTTTTGAAGTAACTGTATCATGTTCTTGTACTATTACTTGTTTTCTGACTTCTTTGGATATGTATATCAGTCTGTAATATAATATTATTCCATCTTCTTTCTTGAAGTTTTTATTTTCTTTATTAATTTTTCTTGCATATTTGTCTTTTTTTATTGCTTTTTTAATTCTTTCTTCAATGTCTAATTCTTCTGTAATGATTCTTGTTGCTCTTAATGTCTGTTAATTCAGAATCATATTCTTTATTTCTTCTGATTCTTTGAAGAGTGTTCTTGAATCTTGTTCTTTTTTCATCAGATCTGATTTTTGACTTAGTGTGTCCATTCAGACATTCTCTATACCTTTGCAGTATCTTATCTTGAAGTTGTAGTGTATTAGTACATCTGTATATTATCTGGCTTGTCTTCTTGTAAGCTCTTTTGCCATTATAAAGTATTGCAGGTTGTTGTGATCTGAGATAATTTCTGTTTAGTATTGATTTTCTTGCAGTTCAATCTTTCATTTCTTTAGTGATGCTACTATTGCTAGTAGTTCTTTATTGTGGATATTGTAGTTCTGTTCAGCTGGTGTTATTGTTCTTGTATAACATGTGACTAATCTCAGTCTTTCTTGTTCATCTGGTTGTTGTAGTGTTCTTGCTATCATACAATCTAATACATTCATATTAATCACACATCTTCTTGTTAGATTGTAGTGCTTTCTCATTTCTTCTTTTCTGAATTTGTCTTTTATTACTTTAAACACTTGTTGGCACTCTGTTATTTATCTGAGTAGTTTGTCTTTCTTGAATAGCTGTATGAGTGGTTTTGCTTTCTTTGAAAATCTATGTATGAATTGTCAGCAGTAGTTTGCTAGTTTGTAGAATATCTGCACTTCTCTGACTTCTTTTGGTGTTGGCTACTGTAGTATTTTGTTAATTTTTTCTGGCTCTATCCATATTTCTTCTGTTGATATAATGTGTCTGAGATATCCAATTTCTTTCTTATGAAAGTCACACTTCTTCAGTTTTGCCAGTAGATTGTATTTCTGTAGCTTTTCTAGTACTTTCTTGATCTTTACAGTGTGATTCTTTCAGTCTTCTTTGGTATATATTACTACATCATCTAGGTATTTTGTTTCAGAATTTGTTTCCCACTTGTTGTCTTCTGTGATTTGTATCTGATGGTAGATGTCTTTAATATTAATTAGAGTAAATCATGTTACTTCTCTCAATCTGTCTTGCACTTTCTTGATTAGTGGTATTAGGTAACAGTTTTTGACTGTAATGCTGTTCAACTGTCTATAACCTATATATAGTTGTAGAGTTCTGTCTTTCTTTGGTGCAAACAGTATTAGATATTCTGCTAGTGACATCAACTCTCTTATGTAATCTTTCTGAAGATTATCTTTAATATATTTTTTCACTTCAGCTGATTCTTTTTTGTTCAATCTGTATATTGATAGTTTTGTTGGTTATTTTCCTTCTTGTAGCTTTATTTTGTGGTTCCAGAGTTCATGCTTTGGTAAGCTGTTGCTCCAATTTCTTTTCCTGAATATGTTGATGTATTTCCAAAATTCTTTTGGTAGAGTCTTTTTAATTTCTTCATTCTGGTCATTCTTTTGTACTTGTAGCTGCATCAAGTTATTGGGTTTCTTTATTATTTGATTCACTTTTTCATTATAGATTGGGTTTTTATAGGTCTCTTTAGTGTTAATCAATAATTCTTTATGTAATATCTCCTGATTGATCTGACTTATTATGGCCAGTATCTTGTCTAAGTTGTTCCTGAGTGTAAATTTCTGATCATGACTTTCTGGTTTGAGAGAGTATCTACAGTTTGTCAGCCTAATCTTTTCTTCTCACCAGTCTATTTCTGAATTGTGCTGTTTCAATCAAGAGTATTTCAAGACTATGTTATAGTTCTCTAGATTTGTCACTTCAAAACACACTTTCTTGTGGTGTTATTCTATTCTTATTTCAATAGAATATGTGTCTTCTTCAACTCTGTCCAGAGTTTCTACTCTCAGTCTTGATAACTGATAGAGATGTTTCTTTATTTGCTTCATAATGCCAGCTCATTCAGTGAATCTTCTGTTAATAAATAGTCCAGTTGCTTCTGAGTTCACTAGAACCATTATATGCTTTGATTCAAGTAAGATCATCATAACTCTAAGATGACAGGTCTGTTCATTAATAACTAACAGTTTTGCTCATCTATTCATGCTGCTTACAGGCTCTTGTTTGTGACAGCTTGCTTATTTCCTGAATTAATAAGAGTTGTCTTGAGTGTCTGTTTGTGTATTGTGCAATTTTCTTTATTAGTACAGCAGATCTTATGTATTTTTTTTATATACTTATTGTCTCTGCATTTTGCACAAGTTTCATATTCTTCGAAATCATGCAGGAATCTTGTCTTTTTCCAAAATCTCTTGTTTTTGTGAAATTCATATTGATATTCATACTTGAATTTATTGTGGCAAGAGTGGTCTGGTTCTTCCATCTCTTTTTGTTTTTTACTCTAGTGTAGTTCACATGTTATTATTACTAATAATCTGTTGTTTTCTTCACATGTCATTCAGTGTAACTGGTTGTCTTGAATCTGTAGTATTCTTGCTGTTAGATATTTTTTCTTTCCAGATATCATGCTTTTTATGAGACTGAATTTCTTCATGACATCTTCTTCATGTTTCTCAAATTCTAGTATTTCTCAGCTTATCTTTTTTTTCAGTTTTGATGTAGGTTTTTCTTTCTTGTCCAATCTATATTCTTTATTATTGCTGTTGTCTTGCTTCTGGATTGCTTGCAGCTTCTTTAGTAATTGTGAATAATATCTACTGTTCTTTTTACTTCAGTAAATAGAGCAATTATTCTTGTAACACAAGCTCTAATGAATTCTGGTGTAATCTGAATATTTCACATATGAGATATTCTGTAGATCTGGCATTTTTTATTCTTTCTTCTCAGTGTCACATCTGTAATACTGGCAATTTTTGATGTCACAACTATAGTTTCTATAATACATAAAGTCTTCTATAATCTGTATTTATTATTTGAACTTTTCTTGTTATTTCTGGTCAAGTTCACATGAACATCTATAGATTGAGTATTGGACATGTTTCTTGTACTTTAGATCTTGAATTTCATTTATTTTTTATTTGTAATAATATTTGCAGTCAAGTAGTTGAATTTCTCAATCATCACTTGGTTCATTTCTTATTCTCACATATAGTTCTTCACATAACTCTTATTTTTCATCATCTAGCTTGTTTCAGCATTTTGGTTCACTTTCTGACTGCTGAAGTAGCTTCAGATAAGCTTTCATAATTTGATCTTCAAATATCTTTCTGAATTATTGTTGAAGTTCTTCTTCAGTTTGCTCTTTCTGAGTTGTTGCTTAAAGATACTGTTTTACTTTAGAGTCTTCTTTATTTTTTTCTAAGATTACTCTGAGTTTCTTATCTTTTTAATTTGTCTTTTTTGCTCTGCATTATCTTGCTTGATGTTCTGGCTTGACATAATAGAAGTATAGTTTTTTCTTTTTTCTCTGTTCTTTCTCTTTCTTATTGAGAGTATCAAACTTCATTATATTCAGCTTTATGAGTGTATGTCTGTAAGAATCTAGTTATACTTGCTTGTTCTGGCCTCAATTTCCTATATAATTTAACAGGCTGGCTCTCTTTTATGGTGCTTTTTCTTGTTTTTCCATCTTTTGTTTATAAAGTCAGTTTCTGATTCTGACTGCCACTTTAATCATTTTAGTCAGAGTATGTGATTGTTTCTCTAATTATACTATTTTATCTTTGATCTCATCAAATAGTTCTTGATAGAAGATGTCAGCTAAGGCTTTGTTATTCCAATCAGTATTGATACAGACTTGCTGGAATCTCATAGTATAGTCTTGTGATGATATCTTTTATTATATGTGATATAGCTGCTGGACTGCTGCATTCTGTTCCTTAACTTCTTCAAAAGTGATTTTTAATATCTGAATAAAGATATGATAACTGTTAATAATCTTGAGCATATTATTATTCTGATCATCTTTATTTTTCTTGTAGTAATTTCACAGATAGACATTAAACCAATTGAATGCTGCTTTATAAAGATATAATACTGTCATCATTATCTTGTTCCTGTTGCTGTTGAGTTCTTTGTCTTTCATATTCATATAGATGTGTAGTTGACTCAAGAAAGCTTGTAATTTTCCTTGTTCATTCTTGAAGAGTTCTGGTGAATTAACTTTAACTTTATCTTTCTTTTCCTGTTGTTCAGTAAATGGAATGGCCATGATCTGAATCTCAAGCTGCTCATTATAATCTTTCAATTTATGATTCTGCTCTTCAAGTTTCTCAGTAATCTGTTTAAGCTGCAAGATTCTATTTATAAGGTCTTGAGTATTAATGACTGGTGCTTTGGATGCAGATATAGTTTCTATATTCCATTAGATCTTAATGTGGGGTGGGATCATATCTTTATCTTTTAATATGATGTGAGAAGTTCTTTCTTTATATGTAATCTTTGAAGTCTCAGATGTATTCTCTTCTGAGTCAGGGATGATCAATATATTATGTATTTGTGTGACACTCTTGAATCTTTAGAGTTCAAGAGGTATTACAGTAAGTAATAACAGATTGAAGTAGTAATTAATAGTTCAATAGTGCTCCAGTTAAGCTGGCAGTCTTGCTCTGATGACAAAGAGTTTCTGTGCAGGTGTGACAGAGTTAGAGCAAGACTATAAAGCCTTCTCAAGAGTAGTGAGATCAGATACAGTCATACAGTATTACAGGACTTCAGTAGTATGGAAAGTAACCAAGGTATGAAAGTATCTGATTCAAAGATATCTAGTAGATAAGTAAGAAGATTGATTATGATGAACAAGTTTATCAGATCTCTGGTAATAAGTGTTCTTATATACAGGATGCTTTTCTGGTGATAGTTCCACTAAGCTGTTCTATTCATTCTATTGCAATATGTCTCCTATGTTCTCTGATTAATCTTATTGTGCTTGGTGTGATTGATCAGCTTATTAGTTCTATCACTGGTCACATAATTCTTGCCTTAGAGTTCTTCTATGACAGTCTGTAATTCTGCCTTGTCAGGTGTTATCCAATCATCCTGTGTGTTCTGTTGTTGTGCTGCAGGATTTATAACATTAATGCTCAAGACCTTATGAATAGAATCTTGCAGCTTGAACAGGTTACTGAGAAACTTGGAGAGCAAAACTGTGAATTGAAAGACTATAATAAGCAGCTTGAGATTCAGATCATGGCCATCCTATCCACTGAACAACAGAAATAGAAAGATAAAGCCAAAGTCAACTTACCAGAACTCTTCAAGAATGAACAGAGAAAATTATGAGCTTTCTTGAGTTAACTATACATCTACATGGATATGAAAGGCAAAGAACTCAACAGTAACAAGAACAAGATAATAATAGTAGCATTATATCTTTACAGAGCAGCATTTGATTGATTTGATATCTATCTGCAGAATTACTACAAGAAAGATAAAGATGATCAGAATGATGACATGCTCAAGATTATTGGTAGTTATGACATTTTTATTTGAATATTAAAAACCACTTTCAGAGAAGTCAAGAAATGAAATGCAGTAGCTCAGCAGCTACATCACATATAATAAAAGATATCACCACAAGACTATACTATAAGGTTTCAGCAAGTCTGTGTCAATACTGATTGAAATGATAAAGTCTTAGCTGACATCTTCTATCAAGAACTATTTGATGAGATTAAAGACAAAATAGTATAATTAAAGAAATGACTATGCATTCTGATTAAAATAATTAAAGTGGCAGTCAGGATTAAAAATCAACTTTATGAATGAAATATAGAAAAACAAGAAAAAGCATCATGAAAGAGAACCAGCCTGTTAAATCACATAAGAAATTAAGACTAGAACAAGCAAGTACAACTGAATTCTTACAGATATACACCCATAGAGCTGGACATAATAAAGTTTAACACTTTTGATAAGAAAGAGAAAGAATGAAGAAAAAAGAAAAAACTATACTTCTATTATGTCAAGTCAGAATACTGAGTAAGATAATACAGAGTAAAGAAGACAGATCAAAAAGATAAGAAACTTAGAGTAATCTTAAAACAAAATAAAGAAGACTCTGAAGTGAAACAGCATTTCTGAGTGATAACTCAGAAAGAGCAAACTGAAGAAGAACTCCAATAATAATTCAGAAAGATATTTAAAGATCAAATTATGAAAGCTTATCTGAAGCTACTTCAGCAGCTGGAAAGTGAACCAAAATACTAAAACAAGCTGGATGATGAAAAATGAGAGTTATGTGAAGAACTATATATGAGAATGAGAAATGAACCAAGTAATAATTGGGGGATTCAACTACTTAACTGTCAATATTATTATGAATGAAAAATGAACAAAATTCAAGACTCAAAATACAAGAAATATGCTCAATACTCCATCTATAGATGTTCATGTGAACTTCACCAGAAACAACAAGAAGAGTTTGAATGATGAACATAAGTTATGAAAGACTTTATATATTATGAAGACTATAATTGCAACATTAAAAATTGCCAGCATTCCAGATGTGATACTAAGAAGAAAGAATGACAGATGTCAGATCTACAGAATATCTCATATATGAAATATCCAGACCATATCAGAATTCATTAAAGCTTTTGTTACAAGAATAATTGCTTTATTCATTAAGATAGAAAGAATAGTGAATATTATTCATAATCACTAAAGAAGCTGCAAGCAATCTAGAAACAAGACAACAATAATAATAAAGAATATTGGTTGGACAAGAAAGAAAAGCTCACACTGAAATTAAAAAAAGAGATAAGCTGGAAAATACTAGAATTTGAGAAATATAAAAAAGATATCATGAAGAAACTCAGTCTTATAAAAAGTGTAACATCTGAAGAGAAAAAATGCCTAACAGCAAGAACACTATAAATTCAAGACAACTAATTATACTGGATAATATATGAAGAAAACAACAGATTATTAGTAATAATAATATGTAAACAGCACTGGAGTAAAAAACAAAAACAGATGAAAAAACCAGATTACTCTTGTCATAATAAATTTGAGTACAAATACTAATATAAATTTCATAAAAACAAGAGATTTTGGAAAATAGCAAGATTGCTGCATAATTTAGAAGAATGTGAACCCTGTACAAGATACAGAGACAATAAGTATGTGTGAAGAATACACAAGATCTGGTGTACTAACAAAGAAAATTGCACAATATACAAACAGGTACTCAAGATAACTCTTGTTAATTCAGAAAATGAGTGGGCTGCCATAAATAAGAGTCTGTAAGCAGCATGAATAGACAAGCAAAACTGTTAGTCACTAATGGGCAAATCTATTATCTTAGAGTTATGATGATCTTACTTGAATCAAAGTGCACAAGAGTTCTAGTGAACTCAGGAGTGACTGAACTATTTATTTACAGAAGATTTATTAAATAAGCTGGCATTGTAAAGTAAATGAAAAAATATCTCTACCAGTTATCAGAACTAGAAGAAGGAACTCTGAACAAAGTTAAAGAAGAGACATATTCTATTAAAATGAGAATAGAATAATATCATGAGAAAGTGCATTTCAAAGTGACAAATCTAGAAAACTATAATATAGTCTTGAGATGCTCTTGATTGAAATGGCACAATTCAGAAATTGACTGGTGAGAAGAAAAGATTAGACTGACAAACTGTGGATACTCTCTTGAACCAGAAAGTCATAATTGGAGACCCACACTCAGAAATAACTTAGACAAGACCCTGGCTGTAATAAGTCAGGTCAATCAGAAGATACTGTGTGAAAAATGATTAATCAACACTAAAGAAACTCATGAAAACCTGACTTATAATGAAAAAGTGAATCTAATAATAAAGGACTCTAATAACTTGATGCAGCTGTGAGCACAAAGAGATGGCCAGGATAAAGAAATCAAAAAGACTCTATCAAGAGAATTTTGGGAATATATTAATGTATTCAGAGAAAGAAATTGGAGCAACAGTCTACTAAAGCATGAACACTGGAATCATGCAGTAAAGCTACAAGAAGGAAAACAACTAATAAAACTGTCAATATACAGATTGAATGAAAAAGAATCAGTGGAAGTAAAGAAATATATTAAAGATAATCTTCAGAAAGATTACATAAGAGAGTTAATGTCACCAGCAGGATACTTAATACTGTTTGCGCCAAAGAAAGATGAAATTCTATAACTATATGTAAATTATAGATAGTTGAACAGCATTACAGTTAAAAACTGTTACCTGATACTACTGATTGAGGAAGTGCAAGACAGATTAAGAGAAGTAACATGGTTTCCTCTAATTAACATCAAAGATGCCTACCACCAGATATGAATTAAAGAAGGTGATGAATGGAAGACAGCTTTTAGAATATGATACAGACTGTATGAATACAATGTCATGCCATTTGAACTCACAAATACACCAGTAACATTCCAAGCACTAATTAACAATGTACTGAGGGAGTACCTGGATGACTTTATCATTGCATATCTGGATGATGTAGTGATATATATCAAAAAAGACTGAAAGGATCACACTGCAAAGATCAAGAAAGTACTAGAAAAGCTATAAAGATACAATCTATCAGCAAAACTAAAAAAGTGTAAGAAAGAAATTAGATATCTTGGACATATTATGTCAACAGAAGAAATACAGATAGAGCCAGGAAAAATTAATGAGATACTACAGTAACTGATGCCAAAAGAAGTCAGAGAAGTGCAGATGTTCTACAGACTAGTGAACTACTACTAACAATTCATATATGAATTTTTGAAGGAAGCAAAACCACTCATACAGTTATTCAAGAAAGACAAACTATTCAGGTAAATAATGAAGTGCCAACAAGCATTTAAAGTGACAAAAGACAAATTTAGAAAAGAAGAAATGAGAAGGCACTATAATCTGACAAGAAGATGTGTAATTAACACAGATGCATTGAATTGTGTGATAGCAGGAGAACTACAACAACCAGATGAACAAGAAAGACTGAGATTAGTTGCATGCTATACAAGAATGATGATACCAGCTGAACAAAACTACAATATTCATGACAAAGAACTACTAGTAATAGTAGTGTCACTAAAAAAATGAAACATTGAACTGCAAGAAAATCAACATCAAACAGAAATTATCTCAGATTATAATAATCTGTAATACTTTATGACAACAAAAGAGCTTATGAGAAGACAAGCCAGATGGTATACAGATGTACTAGTATACTATAACTTCAAGATAAGACACTGCAAAGACACAGAGAATATCTAGATAAACACACTAAGCTAAAGACCAGATCTGATGAAAAAAGAACAAGATTTAAGAATACTCTTCAAAGAATTGGAAGAAACAAAAAATATGATTCTGGACCAACAGATATTAAAAGTGACAAGAATCATTACAGAAGAATTAAATATTAAAGAAAGAATTAAAGAAGCAATAAGAAAAGATAAATACATGAGAAAGATTAACAAAGAAAATAAAAACTTTAAGAAAGAAAAAGAAATGATACTGTATTATGAATTAATATATGTACTCAAAGAGGTCAGAAAGCAAGTGATGGTACAAGAACATGATACAGTCACTTCAGAACATTTTGGGACCAACAAGACAATGGAAAAGATTATGAGAACTTACTATTAGTCAGAAATGTGGACAGATATTCAATAACATGTCAAAAAATGTAAGACATATGCACAAAGTAAAGCCAACAAAAACTAATCATATGAAAAACTGCAACCAATACCACAACTGTAAGAATCATAAAAATATATAGCAATAGACTTCATCATGAAACTTCCAAACTCAAAGAACATGAAAGAAAAGAAGTATGACTTAATATTAGTGGTTACTGACAGATTGACAAAATACAGATACTTCATACTATTTAGAGAGATAATAACAGCATCAGACACAGCAATAATAGTACTATGAAATATACTTGCCAACTATAGAATGCCAGAAGAGATAATTACAGATTAAGACACTAGATTTATAAGTAAATTCTGGATGATGTTAATAGCACAACTAGAAATTGAACAAAGAATATCAACAGTCTACCATCCACAAACAGATAGATAAACAGAATAATTGAACCAAATCTTGAAGCAATATCTGTAAGAATATATTAACTATCAACAGAATAATTAGATTATGCTACTGCCTATAGCATAATTAGCTTACAACAGAGCAAAGAACACCATCATGGAGATGATATCATTCTACATGAACTACAGCAGAGAACTGGAAATACAAAAACAATCAAGAATTACATGACAAAAAGGTCAAGAAGCAGAACTTACAGCAACATAACTATAAGAACTGTAAAATCAGATGAGACTAAATATCAAATTCCTGAATAAGAGGATGAAGCACTATTACAACAAAAGATGCCAGAAGGCACCAATCTTGAAAGAGAGGAAAAAAGTATTTCTAATTTGACAAAATATCAAAACCAAAAGATCTAGTGAAAAACTTGATTTCAAAAAATTGGAACTATACAAAATCATGAGATGGATCAGAAAGGTTAACTACAAACTCCAACTATCTAAAAAGATGAGAATACATCCAGTATTTCATGTCTCATTATTGACAAAAGCACCATTATACACTAAAGAAATGCTTATGAAGATTAATAAAGAACAGAAATACAAAGTCAAACAAATACTGAATCATCAGAAGATCAGTAGAAAACTTCACTATCTAGTGAAATGAAAAGAGTATAATATCTCAGAAAACATCTGAAAACCAACAGAAAATCCCAGAAATATCCAGATGATTATTGTAATATTTCATTAACAACACTCTTACTCAGCAGAGCATTAATAAATAAATCAGAGACAACTGAAAGAGAATCTGAGAAAGAAGAATTATCTAATAAAGCAAGCAGACTCTGAATCTCTGTCTGTTCAGCCACTCTTTTCTGCTTCTCCTTCTTAAGATATTCCAAATCCTCTATAAACTTTGACTTGGACTCAAGAAATTTGTCAGCCCAGTCACAAAGCAGCTTTTTCTGTTTTTGAAGATGAAGAAGATAAGAGAGAGTTTCTTGCTTGACATGCTCAAGCTTGTTCTGAGCCTCAAATAATTTCTGTCAATTAGCAGCAGAAGGACCATTATTGTGAATGCAATGGCAACTAGTATGAACACATTTACTACATCAAGAAGAATAACTTGATTTGAAGCAAGTTTTATTCAATAAAGAGCATCAAGAGCAAGAAGAAAGCATCACAAATCCAGATTGCTTAATGGCAAAAAGAACATTATTCTTGTAAATGTTAGAAGCAGATGACATGGTGAAAGAAAATCATAAGAACACTCACTAAGAAGAAAGACAAGAGAAAACTGAAAACTCAAGAAAGAGAAAACACTTTTTTATACTATAAAAAGCAACAGGCAGAGTGGTTAGAAACAATACACTATAAAAGAAGACAATGATGTTATAAATCCTGCAGTATAACAACAGAATCATTAAATAACACCTGACAAGGCACAATTACAGATCATCACAAAAGAACTCTAAGATAAGAATCATGTGACCAGCAATAGAACTGATAAGCTGACCAATTACACCAAGTATGATAGAATTGATTGGAGGACATAGCAGATATATTACAATAGAACAGATAGAACAGCTTAGTGGAACTATCACCAGAGAAGCATCATGTATATAAGAATACTTATTACCAGAGATCTGATAGACTTGTTCATTGTGATCAATCTTCTTACTTATCTACTAGATATCTTTGAATTAGATACTTTCATATCTTGATTACTTTCCATACTACTGAAGTCCTGTAATACTGTATGACTGTACCTGATTCTGCTACTCTTGAGAAGGCCCCATAGTCTTGCTCTAACTCTGTTACACCTGCACAGAAACTCTTTGTCATTAGAGCAAGACTGCCAGCTCAACCAGAGCACCATTGGACTATTGATTACTACTTCAATCTGTTATTGCTTACTGTAATACCTCTTGATCCCTAAAGATTCAAGAGTGTCACATGAATATATACCATGCACACTCTCAAGACTTCTGAAGAAGACAGCCTGATATTCTAGCCACTATTGAAAATGTCAACTTGATATGATTTCTTTGTGACAAAATTGTGATTTTTATTCAGAGATGTGTAAATTGATCAAGCACTTCATAAAATAGATTTTTGAATTAAGCTGGAATTAATATTGTGTGTGTAATGTTCACAGTAACCTGTAATGCTGTCCAGATTGGAAAGCAGAGGACAGAAAATTCAAACTTCTTATGCAAAATTATTCTTGTTCTCTGATTGGTTCATTTGATTCACCAGTGTGCTGGTCAATTCAATTAGACTTAGCACACTTTTGGATTCACCATTACTTGAACTATGTTTCTTCTTATTGCTGTAGTCACCAACATCAGTACTGCTGCCAATACTTCTAACTTCTCTATTCTTTTCAACCTTCTGACCTTTAACCTTCTCATCATTAATTCTTATACTCATTGTCTTCATCATATTTTCTTCATTCTTATCAGGTCTTGTATCTGTAGGCACCCACCTGATTAAATACTCATTGAATTGTTTAAATATTTGCTGTTTGATTTATCAGTTGTATATCTCATGTTGCTCAAGTTTGGCTTAAAGCCTTCAAAAACTAGATGATGTGTTTGTTTTTTGTTATAAATTTTACAGTTTACTTCTTTGTCATCTGAGGTGTTGCATCCCCAACAGGCAGTAAATTGCCAAGATCTTTCAAGAATAAGTTGCTGATCCCATCCCTCAAATATAAGAAAAGGGGTATGGGTAATAATATCTCTGATCTGAACAGGCACTTTGTCACAAAACATATAAAAAGAAGCAACTTCTCCCATTTAAACAATCATAATCACTTACAGCTTATTTTCCATCAGCAGATTCAACATTTTGATGTACTTCTGAGACAACAAATTGATTTGTGAACCAGTATCAATCAACACTATTAATTCTTGTTGATTTATAGTGACTAGCACATATAATGAACACATTCTATATACTGTTTTGGATTTTGATATCATGGGCTTTGATGAAAGTTGACCAGAATTGATCTTTAGCTCAGGCTGAACTGGTTTGAAGACTTCAATCTTTGCATGGCTTTTGCTAGTACTGTTATTCCAATCTCATCTGAAGAATGCTTAATAAAGCTTTGGTGATATATCTATAAGCTTCTTGACTGACACTTTAATCTTTCCATTGAGAATTTAACCCATTAATTCATTAACATCTGTTGAATCACAGATCTGAGAGAATAAATAATCTGTTGCAGAATATCTTAGTCTTTGTTTCTTTACAGTCTTGTTCTGAATTTCAGGCTTCTTCTGATTGATCAGTTCAATGTCTTCCATGATATCATTATCAAGACTAGCTTGATTATCCTGGTAGGTAATAAATTGTCCAGTACACTGAGTATAGAGTGTTGCAATCTTAGCTTTTTGACTGTTCTTAGCTTCTCTAACAGTTTCAACATTGACTGATATTCTTTTTTCCAGTGGTTCATATTTCTTATCTGAATCAGACTTTTCATCAGATATTAGATATGCAAGTTGTCCTGCTTGAATCTTTATACTGGTTGAATTTGCTGGAGGTGTCTCTTCTTGCTGATTGGTCTTCTTTTTAGAGCTTGTTGACTCCAGAATCATCTATTTATTCTCTTCCATAGACTGTATAATATACATGTTCAGTATTCCAGATTTAGAAGTGATAACTTGATAGTTTTGATCAGAAGAACCCATGTATAAGTTTTCTTCATCATTAATATGACAGAACCTATTATTCACATCAGATTGGTATTCATAACACTAAGATTGATGGTGTCCAGATTTTCCACAGTAAAAGCATGAGAGATGTGTCAAATTTCCTCCAGTTCAAGCTTCTTCTTGGCCACTAGAATGATAGCTTGTCATTAGCAAACCATTTTAAGCCATATAAGAATTAACTAATTGTGGTTGGGTGTTCTCTTGTACTGTTGCAGAATTAGTAGTCACATTTGTTGTATAATTTGGTATGGGTTTTGAAGGCTCTTCTCTCTGCAGCATATAGTACTGATTGGAATTTCCTTGTATCTGATTTGACTGTACTCTCATAACTAATGTCAAATTTGTAAACCTGTTGGTCATCTTTTTAATTACAGCTTCAATATTGGTGCTCTCAGGGCTCTTGGCTTTGAATTTTGATTCAGATTCTTCAGTCTTTGCAGAACTAGCTGTTTTCTTTGAAGTCTCAACTGTAGAGAGTTTGTTAGCTAATTAATATTACTTATCAAGTTTCTTCATTTTCTTCTGCTTCATTTTATCTTTTTTAAAGACCTTCTTATTCTCTTCATACTGGTCCATCAAATCCATGATTACTTGAACAACCTTTCTAAAATCAATGACATATTGTCTGAAAGATTAAGCTTTGCTTTGTCAATAATCTTATTCCAGAGCTTCTTGGACAGCCTCTGAAGGAACCAAGACATCTTAGTGAATTTATCAAGCCTTCTATTGGCTTGTACTGTACTGGTGATAGTAGTATATTCTTGAACATAGGTACAAATGTTGCTATCCCAAGCATGTGGTTTCTTTGTAATTGCTTGAAGATAATTCTGATGGTGAATCTTGTAAGTAATATTCTGATTATGAAATTCATAAATAATCTCTTTAGAGAATACTTCCAAATTATCTTTCTTGTAGTCTTCTAAGGTCTTTATCCATTCTCCAATCCATGTAACACAGTATCTAGCCAACTGTTTGATAATGTTCTTAGGGTCAATTACCTCATGATCCTTGCACATTTGATAAAATCTTTCAATAAACAAGGTAGCATCTCTGCTGTCAAACCAAGGTGCATTTGCTGTACCAGGGGAAGGGATAGAAATGTGGAAGTGAACCACAATTCTTCTGTTCTCATCCTGTAACATAGTTGCATATGATCCTGTAGTATCTTCAACCATAGTTGATTCTGATTCTGATTTCTTGATTTCTTGATCTTTAGTCATGTTATACAGTATGTTCTGTTGTTTCTCAATGATTCAATATCTTTCCAGAAAACCTATTTATCAGGCAAGCTTTTGTGAAAATCGTACGTGTGGATCAGCGTGACAATGAATCTATAGGAGGAATTGTATGTAGAAAAGGGTATGTGAGGTAAAAGGTCTGGTATTGGCAGCTATGTATGACTTGTAGACAAGATTGCCACTGGCTCCCAACAAGAGGTTTGTGCAGTGGCAGCCTTTTATGTGTGCTCGCGAGCACGTGACTTAGTGCCTTGTGAGGACACATGTACTCCCAACAGCTTGCAAGCTGAGGCCCTGGACTCTTGCAGGTGTTGTTTGTCTGTATAAAGGGTTCACGGGCAAATTCTTACAGCTTTAGATAAGAGTCATTTAAATCTAAGCTTCTTAACCTTATTTCTAAACAAAACTCTGATTAGTACTATATTTCTAGTTCATAAGATCTTATCTTGAAATAGTGTATTGCTTTATGTGTCTCAGAATTTCTTTTTCTTCCTTGACAGCCATCAAATCACTGCATCATCATCTTCAGGTCTCAGCTTGGTCACCAAATAAAGCAGGGTATGATGGAATGCCTCATCAAGATAGATGAGTTAGTTGATGTGGTGAGAGCACAAGAAAGGTGAAAAATCACAACATAGTAAGAATAGTAATGGCCAAGTAGTAAGAACAGAGAAGCATGCCTTAACAGATGCCTAAGCTCATAAGAAATAATAGTAGTAAAGAGCTCATACTAATACAGGCAGCTCTAATAAGAAACAGTAGCAAGCTTTATGAACAAGAGATCTTTATATTCTCTCACTAATAACTGAACTAATAATAAAGAACAAGTAAGTAGAAAGATGTAAAGATGCACACAGGTGTTAAGTGAGATGCAGGAGCTATGGGCAGTTTATATAACTCAGAGATAGTAGCTGGGGGGGGGGTTTTGTGCCTTGGACCGGAACAACCTTTGTCCTAATACGGTACTGGAATCCCCACTACACCAGCACAAGATGATTCAAGATGTTTGCATAAGATGGAAATTCATTTATAAGAATGTGTTCATGCCTTGTTATTTTGACAAGCTGTAGACTCATGAATCTAGAACTCATCATCAAAATATGAAAGACTTCACTTATTAGATCATGACTGGAAGCAGATAAAGTATATGATTGAATTGTTGCAGTTATTCAGTCAATTTATCAAGATACTGTTCAAAACAACAGACCCAACAATTTATCTAGTATAAATAATCTACAATCATCTTTTCCAGCATTTAGAAAGAGAGAAGAACAAGATCCAATAGTTGATAACAAGAGAGAATATTGAAAAAGCTATCAAAGCTGCCAGCTTGAAATTCCAGAAATACTATAGTGATACTAAGCATTTAAAGGGTGAGCTACTAGCTGTAGCTGCTGCTCTCCATCCATCATGCTGCATGAGAGTATATGATTCAGAGAATTAGACCAGTAATGAGTGTAAAATATACTAACAACATATTTTGAGGTTTTACAAAAAGCATTATGAGAAATATAAACAGCCAAGAGAAGTAATACTTAATGTAAATAATGTATGTTTATTATAAGTATTATTCTGATTTTCTCTCTGCTAACTTCTCTAGAATATTAAGCAAATGATTTTTGAGAGACTTTATTAAAGACAAGCAAATTTTCAAAATAAAATGCAGCAATATTTAAATGATGAGAATTTGACATCATCTCAAGCTCCAATTCTGGAGCAGTAGAGAATGCTAGAGCCTCATTTTTTAACTGTTGCTCAGATGGCAAGAGATATTCTAGCTGTATCTTTAACAGAGATTAAGGTAGAATGGGTTTTCAATGTTGCTTGAAATACATGTCATTATTAATAATTATAACTTCATGCATCTACAATCAAGAAGATCATGCTACTTAAACATGGAGACAAGATGCATATGCTGGATAAAGCACTTATATTGCATGAGAAGTTGGTCAAGAAAGTCATTCAAGATAATCAAGATGATCAAGATACTTCAGAGATTGTACAGAAAGAGATTGCAAGCTTGCTAAATTCACTACTTAATTCAGACAAGAAACAGAAAATTTATCAATGTTATCAATAGATAAACTCAAGTAGCTAAAGTCTAATAGCTTGCAATATAATTCAATTATGCAAAGAGTGTTACCAAATTTTGTTACTTTTCCAAAGTTGAATAAATTAATAAAATTATGTTAGAACTGTTATCAAATTTTATTATCTTTCTAAAAGTATTTGCAAATGTGTCTGTTGATACTAGATCATCAGTAATTAAGCTCTTATTAAAGATAGTAAGTAGAGTATTATTATCTGGCTGAATCTTGAAATTGCAAACCAGTTCTTGAATCACAAGTTGAATCACATAAGCAAGACAGAGTATTGTTCTACTGTCTGCATTTCAATTAGTTGTCTTATTCAACTGCTGCAATGCTGTCCTTAACTAATATATAAGATGTGCTTGCATGATATTATTGTTTGATGCATTGTTACTTGAAATTGCAAGAAGATTGCTTTCAAGCCTCTATACTACTAATAATTATTGAAGAATCTCTGTCATATTTTTGCCAGTATAAGCACTCTCTAAACTTTCAAAATTCAGTAAATGCTCACAGTACTTTCAATTCTTTATAATGTAATAACCATTAATTGTCATAAAGACAAGATTATTGAGACTTGTTTAATTATTTACTGCCAGAGATATCTTGATTATTGAGTTATAGTTAAACAGAAGATTTTAGAATAGCTGATTGTATATATTATTTATGATCTGATATAATATTTCTTGTGTGGGTATCTGTAATGCCATTACAGGGTTGAGCATGGTTATTAATGTGTAGAATGCTGGATTCTTGATAGCATGAAATGAGAGATTCAAGAATATTAATGTTTGCACAACCTGCTGGAGAAAATTAGCTCAATTGTATTTAGAAACAGACAGATCTGAATCTGTTCAAGAATACTTCAGAAACTGTTGCTAAGACACCAGAATCATTACTAAAATTTATTGCATTTGAGAAATTAGAATCCATGACCTATTATCATGTTAATCAGAGTGTTACTCTGTCTGTCACCAGTTTTTATACAATCTTTACTGATTAAATACTTCTTCAGATCACTTGTACTATTTCAAGAAAAGCTTGAATAACTAAGAAAGATTTGATAATGCTTGCAAATCATCTCTAAAGTGCTCTTAGAATGCTCTGCCATCTGATTAAATTTTGGCTAAAAATCAGAATGGCATTACTTTATCTTCCAGTTGGGGTCACTACAGTTCTTATTCTTAATCAACTGAGCAGCTTCAGTAGTTAACCATCAAATAACAAATAACTTATAATGCTGCTTCTTTCACAATACAAATTGTTTTTTTCCATATTAAATTATAGTTAATTCTGAAGAAATTTCTGTAGATTTTGCTTGTTTACTAACTTCAGTCATTTAATTAGATTTTTTTTTTTCATAATCAAATTAATGTTTCTCTGAGTTCTGTCTTAGTCAAAAAAATAACAAAATTTGGTAACAGTCCAAGTAAAATTTGACAATCTTCAGCTAGTGAGACTTATTCTACTCTGCATAGTAACTAACTACAAAATCATCATTATCTACAAAATGGAATATTCTTTTTCAGAAAAATAAAACATTTTGCTAATTTAATAGCACTCTATTTTCAAATTAATATAAAAAAAAAACTAAAAATCTAACTTTCTTCTCTAGATATTAATAATTTAATTATTATTCTCCTTACTATTTTTCTTATTATTCTTATCAGAGAACATTACAATCTCAAAATCATCTTTCTCTATCTTCTCTGGAGTAGGTAAACTGTTGTTATCTTTAATCAGATTCTGTAATTAGCTCAGAAATTCCCTCATCTTCTCCTCAATCCTCTTTCTTGACACACTAACTACAGCAAGATAATTATAATCATGGTTCATAATCTTGATCTCAAGCTTGACTATCATTTGTTGGAACTGGGCCTGCTTACATGCAGCAATAGAATGCTGCAGCTGACTTGTTTTAGCCTAAATATATCAGAACTGTTACCAAATTTCATTACTTTTAAATTCTATTTTCTTGTTCTGCTAAACTTTATTCTCAGTTTCTGTAGTCTTTTCTTAGCAATACTTCTTCTCCTGTTCCCTCTTCTTTTGCTAAGATATTATGAGCTGGTGCTTATAGTACTTCTTGAACTTGCTCTTGACAAATTACTTAGTTATCAACTATTCAATAACTTTATTTTTAATTGTCTTGCAATTCTTCTTACTGCTATTCTGTCTGCAATGAATGTCAATATAATTTAATGCAAACTACTAAGAGTGCATATCACTTATATTTGACTTGAATTCTCTTCAGTATTATAATATATCTTGTAATCTGTTTCTTCTGTCTTGAATATATCTTTTTCATAATCTTTCAAGACCTGGTGATGCTTCTGTACTACATGAATCTTCTCTCTTATTGAATATTGTTTTGGCCCCATCTTCATAATTATATATGATAAGTTAAATTGGAGACACTGTATGATAGAATTATAGAGTATATTGATCAACTACTTGTATAGAATAGTTACTATTGTAGTGGGGATTCCAGTATCATATTATAACAAAGATTGTTCCGGTCTGAGGCGCAAAACCCCCCCCAGCTACTATCTCTGAGCTATATAAATCACCCATAGCCCCTGCATCTCACTCAATACTTTCGTGCACCTTTGTACTTTTCTACACACTCATTCTTTATTGCTAGTTTGGTTATTAGTTAGAGAATATGAAGATCTCTTGTTCATGAAGCTTGCCACTGTTTCTCATTAGAGCTGCCTGTGTTAGTACAGGCTCTTTAGTACTATTATTCCTTATGAGCTTAGGTGTCCATTAAGGCATGCTTCTCTGTTCTTACTACTTGGCCATTACCATTCTTACTATATTGTGATTTTTCATCCTTCTTGCACTCTCACCATCTCAACCAACTTGTCTACTTTGACAAGGCATTTCATCATACCCCACTTCATTTGGTGACCAAGCTGAGACCTGAAGATGATGATGCAGTAATTTGATGGCTGCCAAGAAAGAAAAACAAATTCTGAGACACATGAAGCAATACACTATTTCAAGGTAAGATCTTGTGAACTAGAAATACAGTACTAATCAGGTTTTTGTTTAGGAATAAGATTAGGGAGCTTAGATATGAATGGCTCTTATCTAAAGCTTGCCTGATAAATAGGTTTTTTGGAAAGATATTGAATCATTGAGAAACAACAGAACATACTGTGTGACATGACCAAAGATCAAGAAATCAAGAAATCAGGATCAGAATCAACTATGGTTGAAGATACTACAGAATTGTATGTGACTATGTCACAAGATGAGAACAGGAGAATTGTGGTTCACTTCCACATTTCTATGCCTTCCCCTGGCACAGCAAATGCACCTTGGTTTGATGGCAGAGATGCTATCTTGTTTATTGAAAGATTTTATCAAATGTGCAAGAATCATGGGGTAATTGACTCTAAGAACATTATCAAACAGTTGGCTAGGTACTGTGTTACATGGATTAAAGAATGGATGAAGACCTTAGAAGGCTACAAGAAAGGTAATTGAGAAGTATTCTCTAAAGAAATTATTCATAAATTTCATGATCAGAACATTACTTACAAGATTCACTGTCAGAATTATCTTTGAGTAATTACAAAGAAACTGTGTGCTTGGGATAGCAACATTTGCACCTATGTTCAAGAATACACTACTATCACCAGTACAGTACAAGCCAATGGAAGGCTTGATGAATTCACTAAGGTGTCTTGATTTCTTCAGGGGCTGCCTGAGAAGCTCCAGAATAAGATTATTGACAAGGCAAAGCTCAATCTTTCAAACAATATGTCATCTATTGATTTTAGGAAGATTGTTCAAGTGACCATGGATTTGATTGACCAGTATGTAGGGAATAAGAAGGTCTTTAAAGAAGATGAAATGAAGCAGAAGGAAATGGAAAAGCTTGGTGAGTCATATCAATTAGCTAACAAACTCCCTACAGTTGAGGCTCTAAAGAGAACAGCTAGTTCTGTGAAGACTGAAGAATCTGAATCAAAATTCAAAGCCAAGAGTTCTGAGAGCACCAATATTAAAGCTGCAATTGAAAAGATGACCAACAAGTTTACAAATTTAGTATTGGCCATAAGAGTACAGTCAAATCAGATACAAGGAAATTCCAATCAGTACTATATGCTGCAGAGAGAAGGGCCTCCAAAACCCATACCAAATTATACAACAAATGTGACTACTAATTTTGCAACTGTACAAGAGAACACCCAACCACAATTAGTCAATTCTTATGTGGCTCAAAATGGTTCACCAATGACAAGCTATCATTCTAGTGGCCAAGAAGGAGCTTGAACTGGAGAAATTTCAATATATTCCTCATGCTTTTACTGTGGAAAACCTGAACACCATCAATCTCAGTATTATGAATACCAATCCAATGTGAATAACAGGTTCTGTCATATTGATGATGAAGGGAACTTGTGCATGGATTCCCCTGGTCAAAACTATCAAGTTGTCACTCCTAAACCTGGAATACCAAACATGTATATTGTACAGTCTATAAGAGAGGATGAATGGACAATTCCAAAGTCAACAAGCCCTAAAAAGAAGACCAATCAGCAAGAAGAGACACCTCCAGCAAATTCAACCAGTGTAAAGGTTCAAGCAGAATGACTTGCATATCTAATATCTGATGGAGAATCTGATTCAGATAAGAAATATGAACCACTAGAAGAAAGAACATCAGTCAATGTTAGAACTGTTAGAGAAGCTAAGAACAGTTAAAAAGCTAAGATTGTAACACCCCATACTCAGCATACTGGATAATTTATTACCTACCAGAATAATCAAGCTAGTGTCAATAATGATATCATGGAAGATGTTGAACCAATCAATCAGAAGAAGCCTGAAATTCAGAACAAGACCATGAAGAAACAAAGATCAAGATATTCTGCAACAGATCATTTATCCTCTCAGATCCACAATTCAACAGATGCCAATGAATTAATGGGTTGAATTCTCAATGGGAAGGTCAAAGTGTCAGTCAAGAAGCTTATAGGTGTATCACCAAAGCTTCATCAAGCATTCTTCAGATCAGGTTGGAATAACAGTACTAGCAAAAGCCATGCAAAGATTGGAGTCTCCAAACCAGTTCAGCCTGAGCTAAAGATCAATTCCAGTCAACTTACATTAAAGCTTATGGTAACAAAATCCAAAACAGCATATGGAATGCATTCATTATATGCACCAGTCACTATAAACCAACAAGAATTAATGATGTTGATCAATACTGGTTCAGAAATCAATTTGTTGTCTCAGAAGTACACTAAAATGTTGAATCTGCCAATGGAAAATAAGCTGTGAGTGACCATGGTTGTTCAAACAGGAGAAGTTACTTCTTTTTATGTGTTTTGTGACAAAGTGCCTGTTCAGATCAGAGATATTATTACCTATACCTCTTTTCTTATATTCAAGGAAGGGGATCAGCAACTTATTCTTGAAAGATCTTGACAATTTGCTGTCTGTTGAGGATGCAACACCTCAGATGACAGAGGAGTGAACTGTGAAATTTATAACAAGAAATGAACATATTGCCTAGTTTTTAAAGGCTTTAAGCCAAGCTCCAGCAACATGAGATATGCAACTGATAAATTAAACAGCAATCATTTAAACAATTCAACAGGTATTTAATCAGGTAGATGCCTGTGGATACAAGGCCTGATGAGGATGAAGAAAATGCAACAAAGACAATGGGTATAAGAATTAATAATGAGAAGGTTGAAGATCAGGAGGTTGAAAAGAATAGAGAAGTCAGAAGCATTGGTAGCAGTACCAGCATTAGTGACTACAGCAATAAGAAGAAACATAGTTCCAGCAATGGTGAATTCAAAAGCACACTAAGCCTAATTAGATTGACCAGCACACTGGTGAATCAAATGAATCAATCAGAGAACAAGGATAATTTTGCATTGGGAGTTCAGATTTTCCATCCTTCACTTCCCAATCCAGACAGCATTACAGCTCACTGCAAACATTACACACATGATATTAATTCCAGCTTAATTCAAAAACCTATTTTACAAAGTGCTCAATCAATTTACACATCTCTGAACAAAAATCATGATTTTGTCACAAAGAAATCATGTCAAGTTAACATTTTCAATAGTGGCTGGGACATCAGGCCACCTTCTTCAGAAGTCTGGAGAGTGTGCACTGCTTATAAGCAGAAAGCTGATAAGATAAGATCATTAGCACCTGGAAAATCTGATGGAAGCAAACCAGAAGGCCTAGATAATTGAGTGGATGTTTGTTTGAATAAGTATTACCCTGAGGAGAAACACATTGTGTTTAATTATAAATTTGATGACCATATTAGGCCTAGAATGACACCTTTTCCTGTTGGAGAACAGCTAACAAATGAGAGAATTGAGAAGCTCAAAATTGGATTTGAACTAACAAGTTGGGAGAAGAAATTTTTCATATCAGTTCTTTATAAATGTGAAGGGGTGTTGGCATGGTCATTTAAAGATTTATATGACATTCATCCTGAATGCTTGCCTCTGCAGGTTATTAAGACAAAGTCTTATGAAGCTTGACAGACTAAGACTTACTAAATTCCTCATGCTCTACATGATAAGCTAATTAAAATCATTCAGGACAGGTTAGAAGCTAAAACATTGGAGTCTTGCCATGATTCATATACCAACCCCTATTTTCTGGTTGCAAAGAAACAGAAAGGCAAATATTGTTTAGTTGATGCAGCACATATGTACAACAAAGTTACTATTTGAGATGCTTTTATTTCTTTTAATGTTGACAAATATGCTGAAGACTTTGGTGGACTTGTTATGACTAGTCTATGTGACTTGTTCTCTGGATATGATAATTTTCTATTAGCTGAAGAGAGCAGAGATATGACAGCCATTGCAACCCCTATTGGGCTCTTTTGCCATACAACTTTAGTTCAAGGGGCAACAAATTTGCCAGCTCAAGCCCAATACAGAATAATGAAGATTATATGAGAAGTTTTTCCAGAGATTGCTCAAGCCTTTATAGATGATCTTGAAGTAAAGAGATTGCATGTTAAAGATGAAACTGAAGTTCTTTCAGAAATAAGAAGATTTGTTTATGATCATCTGCAGAACCTGAACTATGTTCTATAGCTTGTTAAAATCTCTGGAGCTAGAATCTCTAGCACCAAATCTTAATTCTGCATGTCTGAAGTTAATGTCATTGGATGGATCTGTAACTATAATGGACAACAACCTGAGGAAACTAAGATAGCTAAAATTGCAAATTGACCTACTCTTACAAGCATTACAGAATTATGAGAATTTCTAGGGCTTGCTGGATATTTCTGAATACTTATAGAGCATTACAGTTGGATAACCAAATCTTTACATTATCTGCTTTGACAAAACATTATATGATTATGGACTGAAGAGCAAAATGATATCTTTATGCTTTTAAAGAAAAAGTTATGTTCACTCTCTATCATTCTTTCAATCAATTATGGACAAGATCCTTTGCTTATCACTGTGGCTGTTGATGCCAGTGAATTAGAATGAGGAGAATGCATTATTTAGAAGCAATAAGAGGCTCAACATCCCACACAATACAAATCTAGAGTATGGAATGATTCAGAGAAAACATATGATGCTGGCAAACAAGAATGCAGAGCTGTTTTGAAAGTTTTGAAGAAATTCTGACACCATATCTATAGAGTACTCTTTACCTTGGAAATTGATGCAAAAACTCTTGTCACCCAACTTAATAGAACTGCTACAGATGTTCCAGAAGCTTTGGTTACTAATTGGATAGCTTGAATACATCTCTTTAACTTTACTGTTAAACATGTTCCTGGAACAAAACACACAGCTGCTGACAGACTGTCTCACTGAGAACTAGATACTAGGGAACAACCTGAATCTGAAGAAGACAAAGATCTGTTTGCCTTTATGAATTCTATAAGAGTTTTAGCTGGCTGAGCTCTCAATAGTGAAGACCTTAGGATACTAGACTCCACATATTCAGAAGAATTGGAGAAAATTGCACAATATCTAACCACTCTATTAAAACTATTGGGCATGGAAGGAAAGGAGTATGTGAGATTCTGAAAGAAAGCAATTAAATATGTGGTGGAGGCCAATCAACTATTTAGATGAGTGGGATCTGGTGTGTCTCTAAGATATGTCATGGACAACAAAGAATAATGTGAACAAATTTTACACATGATGCACAACAAATTTGACCATAAAGAGCAAGAGAAAACATACTCTACCTTACAAGCTTGATACTGGTGGTCAGAGATGTATAAAGATATGTCTGCTTATGTGAAGCACTGTTCTCAATGTCAATAAAGAGATTTATAAAGATTAAGTGAAGAGCTTCATTCTACCTGAGCTTCTATCTGTTGGGAGAAAGTTAAGATAAATATCAAACACATGCCTTCCTGTTGAGGACAAAATTATTTGGTTGTTGCAAGATATGACTTCACTGGATGGATGAAAGCTAGAGTATTAAAGAAGGCAACAGCTGAAGCTGTGACCAAATTTCTTTATAAGAATATCATCTGTCAATGGGGCCTGCCTGCCAAATTTGTTATGGATGGAGGACCAGAGAATAAGAATGTTGTGAAGATCTTACTGAAGAAATTTAACATCAAACACATTGTTATTTCACCCTATAATTCTTCTGCAAATGGTATGGTGGAAGTTGATCATAAGTCTTTGACTGATGAATTAGCTAAAGCTACCAATGGTACTAGAAGAAATTGAATTAAATATCTTCCTGCAATTCTGATGGCAGATTAAATGACAACTAAGACTAGTACTGGTATCTTCTCCTATAGATTGCTAATAGGCCAGGAGGCAGTTCTTCCAGTTGAACTCAAGATTTCTACTTGACAAACAATTTCATGACAAAATGTCTGAATGACTGAAGACCTTCTTCTGATGCATGCACACCAAATCAAACAATAAGATGAGAATGTTCTGAAAGCAGCACATTATCAGCTTCAAATGCACACTAAGAATAAGAAATACTTTAATGATACCCATAATATTCAGATTAACTCTCTTCAATCCAGAGACCTTGTCTTGCTTTACAATATCAAAGAAGAACAAAATATGTCTAGAAACAACATTCTGCACTTTCAATGACTAGAACTCTATAGGGTTAAGTTCACCAATCAAGAACTAGATTTCTATCATCTTGAAGAGTTAGATGGCACTGAAATCAAAGAATCTATTGCAGGAAGCAGATTAAAGAAGTATCTTATAAGATCTGGAATGGAGCAGCTCAGTGATAGCTCAGCAGATTCAGATGAAGAGATGGAGAATGTTCCTCAAAAATATGCCACAAGAAGCCAGCCTAATATTCTCTCTAGCAGTTTCTTGGATGTTAGCTTCTTAAATAGGGGGGATGACCAAGGTCAGAGTGAGAGCAAAAATAAAAATAACCAAGGAGAAATGGAGCAAACACAATTACCAACTGTTATACCAGATGAGTGGAGCTTTGCTGTTGTTATATCTCTACAAGATGTTTAATTTGTTGTGTTTTGTTTGCAAAAGTGAAGTTTTTGCTTGCTCTTTTGGGAGGTTTCTTTTATTTGTCTGCAAAGTGAAGTTTTTCCTTGCTTATTTAGGAAGTTTCTCTTTCTTTGTTATTTGCAGAAGCCTTCACTTTTTCTGAATTTTTCAGAAGATATTTAAAGACTGATTTTTCTTCCCTGAAGCTTCTACTGTCTTTTACATTCAAGCTTGATTCTTTTTACAGATTCAACATTTTCAACACTTCTTCTTGCCTTCTATTTTGTTATTCTGATATTTACAATTCTTTTTGGATCACCAATATTCTTTAAAATGGCTGGATGAAGCAACTTGCCTCCTCTAGCCCCTGCACTCAAAAACCAAGGCCTGGTTATTACCAGAGACAGTGGAGTCAACCTGGATGACCATTTCTTCAATAACCTAACAGCAGCTATGGAATACATTAATAATCAAGCTCCACACCATTGCTACAGCCTACAGATCAAGCTAATGAATACACTGATGCAAGTGACTGACATAATTACTAACTTAGTGGCCCATTTCTATTGATATGTTGAAAGATCCAGAGCTTGACAACACATTACACATGCCAATTTCAAAGCCAATTTCCATGATGCTTGAAAGATTACCCTGGATGTCAAACAACATCATATTGATATGCAAAAGATCAAGGATAGACTTGTTGCTACATGAAGTATTAACAGAATTGATGCCATATGGTCAAAAGTGGAGAGCCTGTAGGCAGTATAAAAGCTTCACCATATTCTAAATGTCTACAAGAATTGGAATAAGTTTACCAATAATATTAACAGTACAGTGCTCTGAAGACTAGATGCTACAGGGGCTGGACATCACCAGAGCTTAGCTATATTGTCAGGTGATTATACTACAGCCAATAAAGAAGTTGACCACATATGCAAACTTTCTTCAAGAAATGCCCTACATCAACAGGGCCTTATCATTGGTAATTACAGTCTTCTACAGCTGTTGACTCTTCCACAGTCATCTAGCTCCCAACATTCAATTCAGAATATCACTAGAAGTCCTCCCACTGCAAGCAGCTTCTGAGATCTACTGGAAGAACTACAGTCTTCAAGATCATCAAGAGACATTTCAATAAGTGGAATGTCTATGCCACATAGCCACAACATGTCAGGAGCCTCTATACATAGCACAATGTCAATTAGATCACATGGATTTGAAACTGGCCAATCACAGCCATCATTTGGATTCACCAGTACACTGGCCAATTCATCCAGCCAATCAGAAGCTTCAAAGCACTACAGTGAAAGAATTACAGCCATGTCAGCACACCAAACTCTCCAAGACTTAGACAATAATGACAAGTCCATTATTTCTCTCAAAAGTGATGAAGAGATACCTCAACATGAGTGTGAAAAATCTGTCATAGCAGTACACTCTGGTACTTGCTATTGCCATGGATTTGAACAGCAACTCCTGCAAAAAATAAAGAGTATTAAAATACATTCAGAATTAGAGCTTATTCACATCCTGAAGCAATTAGGAAAGGCATTTAGTAATAAAAAAGCTGATATCTACCTATGCTATGACCATGCAAAACTAATAGCTTCAAAACTTGGGTTGCAGACTTGCACACTTAATAGAGAGGAGCTTCTCAACTGTTTGGCTCACATCCATAGAAATTGTTGCAATATTAGCTCAGTTAAGACCAATAACAGCATCTACCTCTGGTTCTGTTTAGCAAATAGACCAGCTAGAGCTGAAGATGCTTTAGGCATTTACAAATTCAAACATCAGTTAATTATTTCTCTGGTCACAAACATGAGAATGTTCAACTTTAACTAATACATGCAGATTACTGGAGTTAACAAGTTCACCACCAGCAATCTTCAGAAGAAATGGGAGACCACTGGATCTATCATTATTCTCCAGCTAATGCACTGGTGGAACAATAAGTTACAAGACACCATCACTACAGTACTCACTCAGGTCAATGGTAAATACAATATATACTACCATCATCAGCAAATGATGGGAGATTGTGACAATTACAGATGATTGAGAACAATATATTACAGTATCAGCCAATAACTCATGTGCCAGGACCCTGCATACTATCTATAGTATGTGCTGACAATATCTGACCATGCTTGGAAATTAATCTCCTATCTATATTATGCCAAGTATGCTAAGCCAGGAGATAAAACTGGATTTCACCATATCAATATCAATATTCTAGATGCTATTACTACTGGAAGGGGCATTAACATGATACAAGAATTCTTGATCTTAACAGCAGAAGAGTCCAGCAACTGCACAGAAATCTTGCCAGAAATGCATAATCATCTAGAGAATTGGTGAGAACTAGTCAAAGAACAAGACTTATTCACCAATGACTATATTCACCACATTAAGAATACAATGTATACCAAAGACAACAAAAGAAAATTTGATATTAGATGGACCAACATTATTTGCAAACCTGGGAATGTCCAAATTACAAGCTCTCTGCTGCCCCATGGAGCTCACAGTTCATGCAAAAAGATCCAGTGTACTATGCTACTCTGGTATGTGGCAATCTAGAAGGACCATGAACATCTTGAAGTTAATGAAGCTGGCATCTGGTTACAGCTCTCTACTGCATATAGAGATCTAGTTTCAGGGCCATCATCACCTTCTGGTCATTTAAACCATTATACATCAGTTCCATATCAATTCCCTACTGCTATTCAATTGCAAGGCTTAGGAGCTATATCAGATGCCTTGGTAGACCAAATTAGGTAGGACAACTCTATAGTGATTGAGAAGCTTGATACCCTCTTTGGACCAGAAGAGAAGAAGACTCAGAACTTCATTAATAACTGGCACCTAAAGATCATGTGAATTGCTTTAAATGTCATTGTCAAGACATACCAAATTGAAAAGAAAGCTTTTGGTAACAAATTCTATTGGCATTGTGTGCACAATAATATTGATCCAGTGTCAGTTCAGCCTTCTCCTTCTTCTGAGAACTTGAGTCACTCTCTTTATTCTTATTTCCTATCTCTTTTCTTACCAGATTGTTACTAATTCTTAGCCTCTTATTTTCTTTACTAAATTGCCTTTGTTTTGTTTCATATGTTGCCTGTTGTCAGGGGATGCCAATATTGAAAGCCAGGAGAAAATGTAGTGGAAATTCTGGTATCATATTAGAACAAAGATTGTTCTGGTCTGAGGCACAAAACCTTCTCCAGCTACTATCTCTGAGCTATATAAACCACTCATAGCCCCTGCATCTTACTCAATATCTTCATGCATCTTTGTACTTTTCTACACACTCATTCTTTATTGCTAGTTTGGTTATTAGTTAGAGAATATGAAGATCTCTTGTTCATGAAGCTTGCTACTGTTTCTCATTAGAGCTGCCTGTGTTAGTACAGGCTCTTTAGTACTATTATTTCTTATGAGCTTAGGCATCCATTAAGGCATGCTTCTCTGTTCTTACTACTTGGCCATTACCATTCTTACTATGTTGTGATTTTTCATCCTTCTTGCACTCTCACCATCTCAACCAACTCACCTCCTTTGACAAGGCATCCCATTGTACCCCACTTCACTATACATATTATTTATATTCTACAGACATATTGCTATAAACAAGCTTCACATGTTGTTACTATGCTGGCTACAGAATAATGAGAATATGAAGTGTATTAATCTAGTACTTGTATAGAATGATTACTATATATATTGTTTATATTCTATAGACATATTACTATAAGCAAGCTCAATACATTGTTGCTATGCTGACTGCAGAATAATAATATAAAATCAGTCTTTCTTCTCTTCTTTTTTTCTTTCTCTTCTTCTTCTTTTTCTTCAGAGCTACTGTTGATAATTCTTTCTCTCTCTCTGATTATTTGTTATCCTGCAACCTCTCTGTACAAGAACCTGTGCTGCAACAAAATAAGTTGTGTGAAGAGATAAGTGCTTGCAGAATACTGCTCTGGCATATATTATTTACTGATAAGATGTTAGTTTTTCCTGTACACATTCATTTTATACAGCTGGAGAGAAGTAGCACAAGACTGTATTAAAAGAATGAGCTTTGAAGAAGAGCAATTGACATAAAGTTAATAAAGATATTAATGTGACCAATTTTAATCAGGAGAATCTCTGTCTCTGCTACTTTGTTCATAATTAGAAGTCTGGCACTCATATATCAAAAAGTAATGATTTTTGATAATGGTCTTGATGCTAATTAATAAAATAAATGCTATTAAGAAGATCTATCACTTCCAGAGCTCTACAGAACTAATTCTTCTAGTAGCTTCATTTCAGTAATTGATTCAGAAAATTACTTTGTTCTATTATCAAGAATATGAATATCACTAGTAATATTCTGTTATTAAGTTACTTCAGAAAACTGCTGAAGCAATCTTGTGCACTCTATTTAAGTGTAAGTCACTATTAACAATAGCATGAATAATTATACTGAGTAATATAGACTCTGTTATGACAATAGTGCACTGTAAGCACATTACAGTCAATACTAATGGCATGAAGCTTGTTCTTAGCATCAGTGTCATGACCAGGTTAAATTATTTTAATCTAATTAATGCATCTGATTATTCTACTTCTGCTGCTTCTGCTTCTGCCACTATTATTTACTGTCTGCATTCTGCCTCTGCTCTGCTAACTACTGCTACTGCTTCATCATTACTGCTACTATCTATCATTATCTCTCTGTCTTCTTCTGATACCAACAGGATCTCTGTCTATCAAATAGCAGGTATTAGGGCCTCTGTCCAGTTCACAAAGCCAGTTCTGGAGAAGCAGAAGAAGAAAGAGAAGAAGAAGAAGAAGAAGAAGAAGAAAAAGAAGAGAGAGAAGAAGAAGAAGAGAGAGAAGAAGAAAGAGAAAGAGAATTATAATAATAACAAGAATAATAATGATGACAAGAATAATAATAATAATAATGATAATAAACTTGTTATTTAGACAGTTTCTAGTTGTTTCCTGGCTTTAGTCATTACTTAGTTTTAATACTTAGTTTTTTTCTTTTACAATTAAATTGATTTTTCTAAGAGTTTCATCTTCATCAAAAAAGTAACAAAATTTGATAATGATTTCACACAAAATTTGACCAGTTTGACTCTTGACACAATAGGGCCAGGAAATCTGGTCCCATTCTGGTCTCACTATAAATCTGGCCAGAATGGGAAATAAGAGCCTATCTTCTCTGCTGGAATAGAACATGGGACATAAGTTTCTATTTGAGAATAGGACTGGAAAATAATTTATGAAATAGAGATAGTAATAGAATCTCAAGCTCTTGAGTGGAATGGGACATGAGACTGAGATTTCATATTTGGAATTCTGGCTGTTTCTAAATTTGAGACTGGAATGAGCTTCAATGGGAAATGGTATCCTGTCCCAGTTCTGAATACCAGCCTAGCTTGTTTAAGTTCTTGTATATGCTTGCCAGATGCTGAAAAACTTTATCTGCTGTAGTGAATCTTTCTAGGTAGTTAATTCACATTCAGAGAGTAAGATGCTTTGCAGTATTCTCTGTTGTTTGGCTCTCAATATAGATAATCTTGCTATTCTTATTAGCAAAGTAATCATTATTAATTTGTAACTTGTTTTTTATTTAGAAGATCTAATGCTTAAACACAGAGTTCTTTCTATTAGAGAGAGAATCAGAATCAGTTATCTTGCTGCTTTTCTTTCCATTAATGCTCTCAATACTACTGGCTTGAAACTACATTATCAGATTAAGAACTATCTGCTGAAGATTCTTCTTTTCCAGTATATTGACATTAATCTGTATATTTAATTTCTGAACATGTTTCTGCAATTTATTTCTCTCAGTTCACAGTTGCTGTGAGGATTGTATGTGTGGATCAGCATGACAATAAATCTATAAAAGAAATTGTATGTAAAAAAGAGTACACAAGATAAAAAGTCTAGTATTGGCAACTATATATAACTTGTAGACAAGATTGCCACTGGCTCTTAATAAGAGATTTGTGCAGTGGTGGTCTTTTATGTGTGCTTGTGAGCACATAATCTAGTATCTCATGAGAACACATATACTTCCAACAGCTTACAAGCTGAGATTCTAGACTCTTATAGGTGTTGTTCATTCATGTAAGGGGTTCACAAGTGAATCCTTACAGTTGCTGCATGTTGAATCTTCTACTATTTATAGACTGTAATATCTCTATATATATATAGTCAGTATTCTTCTCCAGGGTGTGGAGAAAGTCTTTCTTCAAGCTTACTGTTGCAGAGTCTATATTTTCTGATCTCTATATCATGAACTTTCAGCCTGATCTTCAGATCTTTTTATCAGAGCTTGAGCTTATTATTTAGATATGCTTCTGTTTGTTTGTTTATTCATCTGTTTGTTTGTTTAATTATTTGTTGAAAAATTTAACTGTAAATCTTCAAAGAGTCAAAGATGTTGTAGGTCTTAGTATTATATTAGAAGCTCAGCTAGGTGCTGTAGAAAGAGAATCTCTGTTGCCAACTAGATAGCTATAATAACAAAATACTAAGACAGGCTCTAGAAAAGAGGTTCAGAGCAAGAGTTTGCTATATATATATAATAGACTTCTATATTGAATAAACATTGATCTCTTTAGTGAATTTTCTGTCTAGAGTTTAGAGCTTCACCCTGGAACAACCTTCTACCAGTCTGTTATCTTAGTTCACAGGGTTGCAGTCCTTACAAATACAGAAATTACAGAAGATTCTGAATTCTCTGTATATATGTAAATACAGTAACATAAGACAAAAAAATCTATAATAAACTAACTAGGAGCATGTTAGATCTGTTGCTAAATATATAAAGAAATAACTTCTCTGTACAAGTAAGATTTGTCAAGACAGAATCTTAGCAGTTAGAGTAGAAAATTAACAAATAAAATCTATTAATAAAGAGCAGCAGAATTTATATCTTAAGTAATTTAGCTTTAAGACAGAAACTACTATAAGTTTATTATAATAATTTATTTGCAGATTATTTTAATATAATAAAGATATTTATCTTACTTCAGCAAAAATACAAATAGTATTTAATAAGATATTATATTCAGATCTATATACATAAATATCAAATCTGTTAACAAGAGAAGACTTCAATATATAAACTATATAAGCTACTTACTTTATTATCAACATTCAGTAATCTCTGATATTTAATATTTATAAACTTTATAACAAATCTTTCTTTAATTAAAGAAAAGAGAAATTCATATGATACAGTTCTAGTTATCATAAATTAATTTACAAAACTTGCACATTTTCTTGTATGTAGAAAGAAAATTAACACACTAAAGATAGTAAATTTCTTGCTGAGAAAGATGTTTAAGAACTTCAGATTTTTAAATAATATTATCTCAGATCAGAAATCTATCTTCACAAGCAAATATTAGTTAGAGCTATGTTTTCACATGAAAGTTAGATAGAAACTTAGTATAGTATTTTATCTACAAACAAACAGTCAAACAGAGATACTGAACAAGATCTTAAAGAAATATCTTCATACTTATTATAATTATAGACAAGATAATTAGAAGAAGTAGCTTGTGTACACAGAGTTTGTATACAACAGATCAGAACACTTCACAACACACATATCTCTATTTAAAGTAATGTATGGCTTTGAATCTAGAAAACTAGACAAGATCTAGAAGATGACTGATAATGCACAGACAACACTTAATAAGAGACTGAGAATAATCTTTATATTAAGAGATAATCTGATAGAATATTTGACAAAAGCAAAGAAGAATTAAGTACAGTTCTATAATCAGAAATATTAAAATAAGATGTATGCATCTGGTGACAAAGTAATGTTATTATCAAAGAATCTACAGATAATATATCTCTTGAGCTCATGACAGGGTCCATCTTGTTTGCTTCAGGTTTATATTAGCGGAATATCTCTGAGGAATCTTTGTCAGTTACTTTACTGTTGTGGAGCTTTCTTCAGTTCTGTATTACTTTTCTCCAGTTCGCTAATACTTTCCATGGTTTTAAAGCATTGTAAGGGAGATGGCAGTCTGGGCAGACTGGGGTCATCATCACCCGCTCCCAACACACAAGACACCCCACAGTAGGTGCTCTCTAAGTCACTGGGTGTGTTTCTAGAATTCTTGATGGCATGCTGGTAAAGATTCCCAAAATTCAATTGCTACTCCAGAAATATTTTCTTGCCGGGTGTTGTTTGATCTACAATTTCATATGTTTTGCAAAGCAAGTGAGCAGCCAATAAAGAATCCTGGATCCTCTCTCAATTCATTCATCAATACACATCCCATCTTCCGTTGCCAATTCACTAGAAGTTTACTTGAATAGAGGTTGTCTCATGGTGCCTACAAACGGTAAACATGTTTTGTAGTGACATGATTGCCGGCAGCATCCTTAAACTCCACTGTTAAATGCTCAGGTTCCTTCGGATCGGTTCCGCCAACGTGCCAGGATTGTCCGCTTTGGGAGATTAGCAGATAGTTCGGGGCATATTTCATTTTCAAGACATACCTAGGCGTGCATTTCACTTTCGCAGAATCAACACCCCTTGAATCAAGCTGCGCGCTAAATTTGGTGATGGCATCTTCAGCTGAATCGCTTCGAGCACGTTGATTCGTGAAACTGATTTTGGACTTCTCAACGGGCATCGTGAACAAGTGCAGAGGGCGGAATATGCGACTAGTTTTTTAAGCAGGCTGAGATAGACAAAATTGTTTAACCATCATTTGCAAAGGGGAAGGCTGGGCTTATGTCTCTTTCTAAATGATCTGGCTGGCTTTGACCGTCAGATCAATGGGTCTTCCTCACATGAAGCGTGACGGACGGCAGGGATTTCGAGGCCAAGGCACAAAGGACAGGGCATGTCAAACCATCCGGGGAAGTCGCGATCGCCTTCCCTGTGTAGGTGCATCATCTCAATGGTTGGCGGCCTGTATCTCTCTGCAAGATACCGAATTTGTTGCGGCGCTCATGCATCTCTTTGCCTGGTGTTGGAACTATCTGCTTGATGAAAAATAGGAATGATCTTCTAGTTGATCTCTATCTTGATGTTCATGTCTAATAAAATCTCTATGCTAGCATCCAAAAATAACATGTAGGCAAAAAGAACAAGATCAAGCTGAGGCTAAACCTAAAAGGGGATGGAATAACTATATTCCAGGTCAATATGATGGAGGACTTGTATGCTTGTCATTTGCTAAGCTACCTAAAGGGGAATCTCAGCTAATCTATGTGGGTCATGTGAGTGAGGTGCTAGTTGGATTACCTAACACCCCCCTATGCAACAAGCTCCAGCAGTGAGTGAGAGCCACAAAGATCCAAAGCTTCCAAATCTCTTAAATCTGTAATAAAAATTAATTACAAAATCCAGATTTATTTCTTCTTTAGACTTAGCTTCATTCACTGCAATACAGTATTTTTGCTGGCTTTACTGATAAACCTCCATATTTTTCTGTATTAATCTGTCACCCCTATTGTGCTCACAAATTGAGTGTAGAGATTCATTGCAAGAGCCTTCATAAGTCTGTCAGCTTTATTTGCATTGCTTCCAATGTGCTTGATTGAGATTTTGTTCTTTTGCATCCAGTCTCTTAGCATATGGTGCCAAATCTCAATATGGCATACTCTTTATTTTATAGCTTCAGCTTTGGCTAAGTTAATGGCTCCCTTGTTGTCAACACTTAATTTTGAGCTCCTTAGCCTTGCTGAGCCTTCACTAATTACCCTGGCATTTATCAACAGGTTATTGATTCAAATCAGTTCACAAGCAGCTTCACTAGCTGCCAAATACTCTGCTTTGGTTGTAGATTTTGAGATAGATATCTGGTGCTGTAATCTTCACAATATTGGAGCTCTGTTCATGGTAATAATATAGCTGCTGGTGGATTTGTATGCAGGGTTGGCTCCAGTCCAGTCAGAATCCAAACTGGCTGCTGGTTTCAAGTCTTCAGAATTCATATCTCTTTTAAAGACTATTCCTTTTGATTTTTTGCCCTTGAGGTAGTGTAGAATCTGCTTGAATGCTGTCCAGCTCTCTCTATTGGGCCTGCTGTTGAATCTTGCCAGATAATTGACTGCAAATGCAATATCTGGCTTTGTACATGTAACTAGAAACTATAGAGAGCCCAGGCCTTTCTGTAATTTATAGGTGTAGCCTGCTCATTAACTTCATCTTTAAGAGTCTGATCTGGCACAAATTTGATGCTTATTCCTTTCTTTATTGATGTTTTGGAAGGTTTGCAGTCTTCTATTCCATATTCAGTTAGTAGATTCTTGATATACTGTTTCTGGTTCACAAAAAGGTCTCTATTTGGCTGCTTTTGAACTCACATGCCTAGGTAATGGCCCTGTTCTGTAATCTTCTTGATCTTGAAGTGTTCCTGAAGCTTCTTGATGAGCCATTCTGTTTTAGCTTTGTTGGGTCCCATTATACAGCAGTTGTTGATATGTAGAATTAGGTAGATTTGCTTTCTCTTGTGGTAGAGTAGGCCTGCATTATATGAAGAGATCTGGAATTCTAGAGATTTCAGATAGTCAGTAGCTGCTTGATATCAAAGTCTAGCAGCTTGCTTTAATCTGTAGAGTTTCTGATGTAAGAGTTCTACTAGATTATCCTGCCTGTGCTTGAATTCAGTAAGTAGTTAAATGTATACACATTTGTTCTCTGGAAGAGTTCTATTTAGAAAGACTGTCATGAAGTCAAAGACTCTGACCTTCCAGTTCTTGACTGTTGAGATAGCAAAGAAGACTCTTGTTGTAGATTCACTAACAACTGCTGTGTAGATCTTCTTGTAGTGAATGCCTTCTTGCTATTTGAATTCATGTATGACCCAACAGGCTTTGAATTATACTGTGCCACCTGTGTTGTTGAGCTTTCTATTGAATACTTATTTGCCAGAGAGAATCTGCATTTGGGGTTCCTTCTTGACTAGAATTCAGGTATCTTTCTCTTATAATTTGGAGACTTCAATATCTAGAGTCTCCTTTCAATAAAGCTACTCTTCAGAGTGTTTGGCTTTAGTGATGGATTTTGGTATATTTGTATGTGTACTGAGCACTGGAAGCTTAGCTTTATTTGTCTCTTCTTTCTCTGTAGCATCTGAGAGAATTTCTTGCTCTTTGCCCAGGTATGTAGGCTCTAAAGTCTCTAATTTGCTGTCTGTAAGCTTCTTCATGATTTCTGACTTCTTCTTTGCAAGATAAGCTAGTAGCTTGTGTTGCCAGCCATTCAATAAATCTATGTAATTGTACTTCTCTGGAAGTTTAATGTATTTGGCTTCAGTTAGTGAATTCATAGGGATTTGATCCAATTTCTCATTGAATATAACATCTTGTGAGATCATTATACTGTTTGTTTCTGGGTTCCAAAGCCTGTAGGTGTGCATGCCATGATATTCTACAAATTTGACCTTCTTGGACCTAGATTGAAGCTTTGAGAATTCATTCAAAATCTTCATGTAGGCATCACATTCCTATCTATAGATCCATCTGCAATGGGGTTGGTGACCTGTCCAGGCTTTAAAGAGTGTCAATGGCTTTGTGTTCTTGCATCTGTATAGAGGCACTGAGGTAGGCAATAGATTCACTATTATAGAGACTGTGGTGAGAGCTTTGCCTCATAACTTATTGGATAGTTCTGAGTCTATAAGTACACTTCTTGTTCACTTACAAAGAAGTCATATTTCTTGTTCACTTGTTCTATCTTGTTAAGATGTATATGAGTATATAATCTTCTGTTATATACTCTTGCTCCTGTAGAATTCAGCCAGTTGTTGACTCATCAATTCAGAAGCTCTATCAGACAGTATAGTACTGATTTTTCATTCAGTAGACACTTTAATCATGTTGATCTAGTTCTTTAGGGTTTCTGGAGCTTCTATTCACTTCTTCAGAAGATAGATTCACCTGTATTATGTGGCATCATCTATTATAAGTAGGAAATACTTCACTCCACTGTAGCTTGGAGAATCAGAGTCTGTAGATAGAGTACAGCTGCCACCTGCAATATTAATAAAAATTTTAGCTCCAGGCTTTGTAGAGTATGTTCTAGATTCAAATAAGTTGTGAGCTTGCTTAGCTTTAGCACAGGTTTTACAGAACTCTAGCTTCTTTACTTCCTTTATTTGCATTACCATTCTCAGATCTCTAGCTAGAATAGCTATATCATGGGCATTGAGATGCCCCCAGCATTTGTATCAATTGGCCATTATATTCTTCTTGATTTCTGGTGTCTTTGCCAGGTGATTCAGTGCCAAAAGCATGTCATCTCTATCTTTATTCTCTAGAGTTGCTGTTATATAGCAGGGCTCTAGAAGTTTCATAGATACTGGAAACACATATGCCAGTAAATTACATATTCTAGGCATTCATAGAACTAGAATATCATTCTTATTAAGCACAGCTTCAAAGCTCTGTGTTTTATCTGCCAATTCTAGTAGAAAGATGTGTTCTCCATTAACATAAAGCTGTTCCACTGTAAAGCCATCTCATATAAGCTTCCCAAAGCTTATGAGGTTAATCTGGAGGTCAGGCACAATTCTAACCTCTCCAATGCTCAATTCTCTATTGTTAGTTTGAATACTGGCTGTGCCAAATTCTCTGGTGACTGATTTCAAACCATTCACTATAAGCAGTTGTGTTGCATGGCTCTTTGAGTCCATTTGAACTAGATCTGTACATGAGGTTATATGAGATTCAGCTCCAGAGTCAAGAATTCATTTGTCTGTAGATTCATGTGCTTCTTTCATAGACAAGACTGCTTCATGAACCAAATGAATCTTGTCTATTGCAACTGTAGCTGTTTTCTTATCTTTACTTTTAGAGTGTTCTTTAGGCTCATTAGACTTCAAATTCTTGTTAGATTTGCAAAATTTAGTCAAATGGCCAGGTTTGCCACAAATATAACAGTTTCAGTTTTGCAGTGAGCTCTTCTCTGGATCAGATTCAGAGTTCATATTCTTATAAAATTTTTGAGGATTCAAGCTTGTTGTATTTGTATTTGGCTTTGTAGATCTGTCTTTCTTCAGATCTTTCTTGAGAATTTGATGAAGAATATTCTTCAGTAGATCTTCCAAATTCTTCTTCAGTAGGTTTGTTCCACTCTGGCATGCCATATTAAATTAGTTCTGTATGAACTCTCTCTATTGAGATGTAATATTCATCTTCAAGATATTGTGTAGAGTGTGGTCCAGTTGTTTGAATTCTAATCTCTTAAATTTTCTATAGATTGCTAGAAATCTCTCTATATAATTTCTTTCTGAGCCAGTGGACTGTAGTGTCATTCTCACTAACTCTGTAAGTAGACTTTCCTGCTGTATCTCAGGTTTCTCTTGAAAGACTGTTCTTACAGCTTTCCAGAGTTTATAAGCACTAAGACTATCTAATTTCTTGAAATGTTCTCTGGCTTGTGCAGATATTATACTGTTGATTAGACTGTATAGTCAATTATTCTGAACATTTTAGTATTGTGAAATCTTCAAGTGCTCTGACTGTAGTGAAGTCTCTTGTCTTTCCAGAATAATTCTCTCAACATCTACTTGGCAGGCTATCTTTAGAATGGCTTTGCTTTATGCTAGATAGTTGCTGGCTTCAGCCAGAATTATAGACTTCTTCACTATCTTTATAATCTTCATGAATTGGGTGATTGCTCTGCTGATTCATGTATTTGTGTCTATAAGATTGCCAACATATTCTTCTAGTTTCTCATCAGAATCTATTTCTCAGTTCTCTTCTTCTTCTTGTTAAGCTTTGTGCTCTAGATTCTCCTGCATTATTGCAGGTATGTTTGTGGTGCTTGCTTGATCTGATAGAAGATTTACTTACTGTGCTAGCTGTTGTACTGTCTTCTGTTATCTTTATATTAACTTCTGTTGTCTTTATATCATCTTCTGTTGATTCAGTATTATTCTGTGCAATATTTGGAGTTCACTCTTCTCTCTAGGCTCCTGCTCATCATTTAGTGGGCTGCCTCTGAGCCTACTTGACTGCCTAAGCTCAGTTTAGAATGTAGGAAGGTTTGTTGGAGCTTTCTGGTTGGGAGTTCAGTGCTCTAGTTTGTCTGTATAGTTCATCATGGCTTTAATGTTGCCAGATGCTTGATTTGCTTGCTAGGTGTGTTTAGCAGGCATTTTACTCACTCTCTGATTGTGTGCCAGAAAGCTACAGAGTTCAACTTGCTCTCCAGCTCAGTGCTAGAAAGCTACAGAGATTTGCATGTATAGAAGATGTCTATTCCAATATATACTCTCTTTAGTGCTTGTAAAACCTTGTTATTCACAAGAATAACTGTTCAGGGTGTTAATCATAAGCTTCAATAACCAATTGAGCTGTAAATCAATCTTATACACTTGCTCTTCAGTGCAAAGGGCTATAACCTGATGGAGGACTTGTATGCTTGTCATTTGCTAAGCTACCTAAAAGGGAATCTCAGCTAATCTATGTGGGTCACGTGAGCGAGGTGCTAGTTGGATTACCTAACACAACACCTCAGGTGGTTTTGGCTCGCGCCATGTAGCAGGGCACCTGGCTCCAAATTCAACACCAAGATATTTAGTTTCAAGCCTTGGCGCCACAGATGATGACCACAGTCGATGCCTGGTCAACCGTACCCAGCTTACCATCAACAGTCGCCCAATTTCGCAGGAAGATAATGTCGAGCCAGAATCAGGAGTTCACTGAAGGGCCACAGGTGTATCGCCCTGGTGGCTTCCACCCAGTTTATCTGGGAGAGGTGTACAATGGGAAATATGAAGTACTGAGAAAACTTGGCTCAGGGAGATATTCAACTGTGTGGCTCGTCCAAAATAGAGAGTGAGTTTCCTCCATCCATCAATCATACAACTACTCATAAGCGCATCCAGAGAGTGCAACTTCAGGGCATTAAAGATTTTGAGTGCAGAGTGTTATGGAGGGCTAAAGGATACCTATGAGCGCGAGATACTTGAGCACCTGCGAGATGCAGATCCTTCACACCCGGGCTATGCTTACATCTCAACATTGGTTGATTCGTTCGAACATCAAGGCCCCAATGGGCGCCATGTGTGCCTTGTTTTTCGAGTTATGGGGGAGACGCTCCGGAGCTTTGGGACCTGGTTTGAGCACCATATGATTCCCAACGAGATCATGCGGCGTTTCACAATTCAGCTCCTCCTAGCGTTGGACTATGCTCATGATCACAATGTCATCCACACCGGTAAAACTTCCATTATGTGGCACACCGTTGTCCAACCCACTGCAGTGCTAATCACGCCCCCCTAGACATCAAACCCGATAACATCTTCGTCCAGATCCAGGATGAATCGCTAATTTCAAAACTATATCTACCAAACAACCCTGCTGATCCTGCAGGCTTTGACACATCAACAAATCCCTCATCCATTCAATGTCAACCTCTTAAATGGGATTACTTCCAGAACGGAGCAAATCTGCTGGAGTTTGATATTGCATTGGGTGACTGGGGTGTTGCTAGCTGGACCCATTCTCATCTTACTGAGCTAATCCAGCCTGTAGCTCTTCGAGCTCCAGAAGTACTAATTAAGGCACCCTGGGGCCCATCCACTGATCTTTGGAATTTAGGGGCTGTTATCCTAGAAGTGTTCCGCGCTGTGCGCATGTTTAGTGGTAGAGTTCCACCAGATGGCCACTATGAGGTTCGGTCCCATCTTCATGAGATTGTGGATTTGTTTGGACCATTCCCCAAGTCACTTCTGCAAAAAGGTGACCAGGAGCTTGTCCAAGAATACTTTGATAGTGCGGGAAAGGTTAAACATCTTCCTCCGCTCGACCGCCCCGGGCTAGAATCAGAGGCATTTTTGGGGAAGTTGGACAGGAAAAATAAAAGGCAGTTTGTTATATTCTTACGATCTCTCATGAAAGTTGATCCGGAAGAGCGGAAGACGACGATGGAATTACTTGCTGAGCCATGGCTCGATGCAGTGCGTGCGTAGTAACTTGGAATTTCACACCTTTCTCGATGGGCTCATGATGCGGAGAAGAGAAAGCATATTATCCCTCGTGTCATGAGATTGAATCCTTCTGTACTACATACTCTGGTTCTTTTACATTCAAACACGACATTGGAAACAACCAAAGGTGCGTGAACAAGACAGCAAGGAATCATCCTGATGGTATAGTGATGCTCAATTCTAAATTTAATGTACAGAATTTTTTTATTTCAAACATGCAAAATATCTATACGCGGCAACCGGAGCCTGGTTTGCTGTTGGAGTCATGCCTGAAATAGAGGATGCCATCCCCATCTTCTGTTGTATCTGTTCTAAAATATAGTTAAGCCTGTAAGCTTTGGAGTATGATCCTTGGGGAGCTGCAAGCCTAATCCATGAAGGGTAGGGAAGAATAAAAGTATTGAGCGGCTGTAAAACAAGGTTATGATGGAATAGAATTCTTCTGTACTACATACTCTGGCTCTTTTACATTCGAATACAACATTGGAAACAACAAAAGGTGCGTGAACAAGACAGCAAGGCATCATCCTGATGGTACATCCCAAACAACCAGCGAGAAGATGTCGAATATGTTGACAGACATAACATGAGTGAAAAGCTCAACAATCAATTGTAGCGGAGGGTGCTTGCCCCCAGTATCCATTTGCGAACCAGGGTAGGCGCGGGTGTTCTAGCCAGTAGTTCACCCGCTGCTGATGAGTGACCCCATGTAGCCTCTCCAGTGCCTCCTGTGGGGTTGAAACACTTGGACTGTCAGAAAGGCTTTCCGCAATCATATCATCAGCCAATGCACCTAGAAGCTGCTTGACTTAGGTTCGTGCTCCATATTTTTCAGTACGCTGTACCCCGCGGTGGTGGACAAAGCAGCACACGATCTCCGAGCGCCGTTGGCTGTATGGTTCCACATCCCGGGGGCCGCCCAAGCAATCAGACAGTCTCCCAAATTCTCCATGTCTGCCCTCAGCTCCGCCCAGCCATCCGTGTCAATGTGCGGAACATTACATAGGGCCGTGTTGATGACTGATGTGCCTCCTGCTTCTGCAGCTGTGAGGAGAGTGAGACAGGCATCCGCATCCTCAACCACAGCCCGGCCAGCTCGTGCACAGTCAATCCTCCGGCCATCTGCTGCAAATCCCAGCTCAAACGCCTGCCTGTTCGAGCGGCGAGTGGAATTCTCAGCCAGCATAGCTGCGGCACGGGGAGGGACGGCAATATTAAGTGCTTCCCGCTGAGCTCGGCCACAGGTCCAGGGCTGGGGAGGACCGCGAGGGAGTCCAGCTTGAGTCTGCCGCCCCCGCAGGTTCGCGGGATGATCTGTCCTTTGGCCGGTTTGTTCTATGGTGTCTTCCGGCGGTGCACCGGGCTCGTTTGCCGGTGAGTCAAGGCTCATCTGGTCTGGAGACGGTGAACTGAGCCTCTGTGCTGAGAAATTTGGAGGGTTGGTGATAGGAGCCGGCGACACCGCTTGTGCAAATGCTGCGGGTGCGGCGATACTGAATTGGTCCCTATTAAGAGACTCGATGCAAATGGCAACCTATTGGTAGCACGGGCCATACCATGAAGCAGCAGGGCCTGGACATTTGACCATTCTTCTGGGGCTTTGGTATCTCGGGATGTTGGGGGCGGCGGATGATGACTGGCAGCTTCTATAGAACACAGCAGGGGCTGTATATTGTGCGAGATGCTGAGACGTCAAAGGAATGACTTGAAATTACGGAGCTCCTTCTCTCTCTCTCTCTCTCTCTTTTTGCAAGTCTGTATGCGCGCATTGACGAACCGCCATCCTAGTAATATTTTGTGTTCGATGGGAGACCCTGTTTCTGATCGTCTGCCTGTGAAAACCGTCAGTGGCAAGAAAATAAGCAGCGAGTATTGTCTGGGTCACCAACAAGCTTCTCCCCGAAATCCTCAACGCGCCTAGTTTCAATCTCAATCTAGCCACGTTCCCTGTCTCCGATGTAGGTGCTGTCAGGATAAGTGATCGCGACATCAAAATCTATCCACATAACTCTTTCTGGGTTACCACGGACGATCAGAATGTTCTTGGGATAAGGGTCATTGTGCTCAACCAAAGCTGAATGAATCTGTTTGATGCCATCAACTGCCTTGGCCATTTGGTCTTTGCTGTAAGTGACGCAGTTCATAAGCAAGGGGTTCGGCAGATATTCTATCAGAATAGCACTTAGGAGGCCACCTTCGTGCCGAAAGGCTTCTAGATGAGGGGCATGGGCAGCTGGGTTCAAGGATAATGTGTATCCATAAAACTGTGGCACATGGCCCTGGTCGCATATGCCAGATCGTTTGAGACTGCAGTAGGCCCGGATTTCACAGCGAGCGCGATTCAAGTCGCGAACCCCGTCGTCGGCATACCCTGCGTCTTCACTGTTGTGGAACTGGACATGTCAGAACCTGTTAAGTTTGGGATGCAGCAATGGGCACATACAACTTTCAGAACACGGGGATTGCCATCATACTTCACATGGAATATCGACGACGCCTCTGATCCTTTCAGCTCTTTAATAAACTTGATCTTTGTGGGGTCGATCTCAATCCTCAAATTGTCGTCGAATCCTTTCTCCTTCTCGTAAATGGTACCCTCTGGGCCACGCGGCAGATCAGTGTGCTTGGGCATGAGGGCGGGTCAGAAACACAGATAGCCAAACCGCTGAACTAGGTTGGTGTGCACCAGTTTCCCAAGTATTGCCAACGCGCATTGTGTTGTGAGTTTTATAAGGCACCATGTCTGGAATTAGGTTGTTCCCTCCTATGCGCCGGGATTTCATGTGCTGGGACCTCCGTCAACTCTCCGCGATAGAGATATGGTTGATACATGTAAAGGCAGCTGCAACCTATCACTTATTGGGTCTTAGAAAGTGACATCATCTTCCATCTTTAAATCAAGAATGAATCTCCTCTTTGATGCCAAAAGTTCATTTTTTTTATGAATGACTGATGCAGAAATACCAGAAGTCCACTGTACATACCAAATGCTTATTACAGTAGCCTTTTGGCAAACAATGCCTAATGAGTGTGACAATCGATACTAGGAACCTAAACAGACAAAGATGCAGAAGAGAGGCTTTTGTTCCCTGCTGCCAGACTGCATACCATGGATTCTCTTTCATGTCAAGCACCAGTGCAATACAAGTTTTAGAAGATTTTGCATGTGTGCATGTGCAGTTTGGAAGCCAGAACATGAAGAATTCAATGATCACCTTTTATGGTTGAAAAAACCAAACACAATTTCTGTCTTTTTTCAACAGCTGGAGGCAAGCAATGTAATGGCGAGAACATAGAAGAGGCAGATGTTGTGGTGATTGCTAGAAGGGTATAAGATATTAATTGTTATATATTTCTTTCTATATACAAGTTTTACTGGAGATTCATTGTCATGCTGATCTGTAAAGTATGATCTTCACAAATGCTTTCTTTTCTTCTTGAAGCACTAGACTGCACTAAATATTAAGATACTGCTGTGAACCTTAGTGTCAACATTATCAAATATTAGCCAGCAACATACTGCAGGCGTCTAGTGCGGGAAGCCGCAGCTGACTTGTGAAGTAAAATGATACCTAGTTCTGCAAAATATCAGATCTGAGCAAGTAGACTACTCCCACTGGCAGATTGCCAGGCAGTGGCATTATATATCACTATATTCAAGGTATTTATTTATCCAAAGTCAGCCCAGTTCCTCAATTCTTCTCCATCATGGGCTTCATTGTCAAAGCTTAATTCCACACCCATCATTGGTACCTGATTCAATGCAATTTCATTGCATTGCATTTGATTTTGATTATGGTTAGCAATGTTGTCCACATCCATAAACCCATCCACAACCGGCAAATATTGTCCAAAGACAGCATCCCATTGATCCCAGTCAAAGTTAACATTCGGATCAAGAGCCTGAGTTCGGAGATGACCCGCGGCGCTTGGCGTGAAAGGTGAAATAGTATGTGATTCGCTTGAGCTTTTCGTAGAGGAAGAATCTCGCCCTGGTTGATTGGGACTATTGTGATGATGATTGTAGCCATTAGAAGTGTCCATGAACCTAGCTGTCTCACTTGATTTTCGCGAATGGGGCTGCCCATATCCAGGATTGAAGGCTTTCATTCCTGACATGGATTGTGAAGAATCCCATGCAGCTGAAGTTGAGGAAAGGTGCGGACCGGGGTTGGAATCAGGAATGTGTGTCGGCCAAATCGCATGTGTATGCCGCGACTCATCATTACTCGTCCGCGCAGTGCTCGTTTTCGGGCTCCCTGTCAGCTTTTCCCTCTCTGCCGATATCCTCTGCGACGGTTGATGGTTCTCATATGGCTCCTTGATCATCGCGTAATAGCTATCGGCAAAATTTGCAGGCGGTGAGATGTGATCCTTCGCTCCTGATGTTGCAGGGCGCGATGGCGTTGAATTCTTCGAACTGAGATCCTGTGAAATGGCGGCTTGTGCTTGTGCATGCTCGGTCCAGAGGACCTTTGGATTAAGGCCAGCTTTCTGCCAGGCCTTTTCGCGAAGTCGACGCATCATATCCCAGGCTTCCCGACCGCCATCCTTTAGAGGTCTCGCAGTGGAAATCCCATCCTCGCCGCCGACCACTCCACCGTCGGGTCCCGAGAGAGAGAATATTTTATCAATAAAAGCACGTGAAATTGGTGCCTCTGGGGTGTTTGGCCGCTCATAAAGGTCGATCAGCATTATCCTGCCATGTGTTAGCTAAGTCAGATATCCACTGGCAGGAAGGAACATACATTGTAGCATGCATTGGTTGGTGATTGCTATTCGATAGTTAGATTGCTGCGTTGACTTGGTAGGCATAATGCACTCACCCAGGCCAGCTCCATTGGAACGGTTGGAAGTCAGGGTCGGTCGCAAGAGCGATGAATTTTTCCATAAATCCATGGCAGTGACGAAGGGCACTGTACGAATCAGTTCCAACTCTCAACGTCCGAACACCACGGTGGAATAAGTCGTTGCCTTACCACTGGCGTGCAGCTGGCCATATTTTGCTTCTTGCATTTTTCAGGAACGGCTGGTAAGCAACGCAGAATGCCTGCTATCCGTTAGATTTATGGAAAGCTTTGACGGGCGAAAAGATAGTACCTTATCTACGAATAACGATAGGAGGATTCGAGCCCATTTATGGAAAGCGGCCAAGACCAAGGAGTGGTACTGCTCATGACAGCCAGGGCCGCCGTTCGGTAAATCCGGCTTCAAGGTGGCGAGCCCGGCTAGCGACTTAGGATTTGTGTTCCTTTTCGAAACTGATTTTGGAATTGGTATCCTGTCGACAAGTGCATGAAGGTCGGTTTGTAGATCCATGAGAATAGACCTCAGATCTTCCATGTCCTTCCGGGTGACAGGCTTTGTGCCGAGTTGGATCCTAAGCACCTTGCGAATGGCCCCTGGCCATTGTCAGCAAATGTCGAACCATCTCATGACAGCGGAAGAACCTACGGGCCATGACGTATTTCCCTCTAGCACAGATATAGTAAACGTTTACCATTGAGTTTCCACACACGTTTGGGTCGTTGGGTCGATCGGGTTTTCTGCGATTCTCGCTTACCAGACGCTCGTACTCCACAGCCTCAGGACTGCCGATCAAGGTATCTTTGACATCACTGGCAATGCGCACATCCCAATAGTTCTCATCACTGACTAAAGGAGGTAGCCCACTGGACATTGCAACTACCCCATCCATGTGAACAATATGCCACCACAGCCTTCGCCTATTTTCTGCTTCACAGGGTGGGATGCCGAACTGCGCAGGGTCTCGATGTAGACCCATGGTCTGGGCAACACGAAGTGCGAGGCTTATAAACAAGCTACTCGTCAAAGGCTCCTCTTCTTTTGAAAGGATAGTCTGAACCAGTAAGAAGGCGGCTAGTCCGTGAAGAGTGGCACTTCTTGGGAAGGAGATTTTCTTCAGCCATCGAGTGACTTCATCATGAAAAGGTTCAGAAAGTTCTGCGCGGTTGTCGACGTCGAATTCTGCATGTATCGTTCGAAGAGATATCGTCACTGAACCACCATACCATATTGCATATAAAAGTGGAATGAAAGAGGGATCCGGGAACGGGGTTTTTTTGTGGTCCCTGCTATCGTACCATTCCCAGAAGCACTGGTATAGTCCTAGGACGGTGGGTGGGTGGACGACAGGGCTGATGGCGTGGATGCCAGACATGAATCCTTTGTAAAGAATATTGCTCTGTCGCCTAGATGGAACATAGTCTAGCATATCAGCCTCGATGGGACGATCGGAAGAAAGGGGCGAATCCCCTCTTGCAACGAGGCCCGTGCCCCGAGGTTCTTCCTTTGAGGAAAACCGCCTGGGGCCACTCTGAGCATCATAATGTGTAGACAAAGGTGGTATATGAACGTTTCCGATATCGCGAACAGAATCGGGGGATGCCAGTGGCTGCTGCTGTGATCTATTCTGGTCGCGAAGTAACTGGTTTAGTTCGTTTATCTTGGGGAGGGCAATCAGCAAAACTGCAAAGCTTAAAAGGCGATGAAACGAGGGTAGGTAGGAGGAATACCTCATCAGATATATAGGCCCAGTACGTTGTGCCGACGTATCTATGGGCACAGACTATGTTTAGCGGTATATGCCTTTGTCCGTAATTCTGGGGGATAACATACCTAGATTTGCCTCCATCTTCCAAACTCAGGTGACCCAGGTTAAGTGTTCCAACCGGGTCCACAAGATCCGTCGACAATCCCGCCGGGATGGGGAAGTCTTCGTTACTACCACTATCCGAGGGCCTTCGCGGACTTGGCTGTCGGGATTGTGACCTGGACGACGCGCTCGAAGCTGCAATCCCGTAACGGCGAACGTCGGTGGGCGACTGCTCCGAGGCCTGATAGAGAGACCTTACGCCTTGGAAGAGAGGGTCACTTTCCTGCGGTGTAAGCGGAGCATTCGTCCTACTCAAGCGTTCGATCATCGAGGTGAGCCGGTCCAGCCGCGCGGCAATCTCTCCTGAGCCAGATTTCTGCTCCCCCAGCCCAAGGGACCCCTGTACCCCCGCATATGGGGAGAGGATTTCGGCCAGGGATGCCTCGGCGGGCTTGGGAGGCTCTCTGCGCCGTTTGACCCGGCTGTGGTGATCCTGTGAAGACCGGTTTTGCTGCAGAAGCGACCTCGAGTCGTAGACGCATTCGGAGCCGTTCTTCAGACAGTTCCCGCACATAGGATGGACCTAGAGGCCCCGCAGAGTTCGCAGGAGATTAGACACGAGAACCATCGGACGCGGGAATCTGCGGGAAATTGACAGCGTACCTTGTCGCATTTGACCTTACGCCTGCGGCAAGTGTGGCACGAGTAGCTGACTCGGGTGCGGGTGATCGGCTTGCCACTGCTGATGGTGTAGTGCTTGCGTCGGGCTGGCGCCTTGGGTGTGGATGTGGCGGACTGCGGAGCAGGCGGGCAGAGCGGTCCATCGCCTCCAGCTCGGATTACGGGCGTGGAATTGGCTGACATCGATAACCCCTCCGCAGCAGGCGGAGGAAAGTCGTCGAGAAAGTGCTCCATTGACGCCCTTGGGGACAGATGGGCGGGGGGCGGTGTTGTGGGAATTTTGACAAACTGGGGCCCGACTATGTACGCAGGTAGAATGGTTGGAGATGACCAGTTGAGACTCTGGGGGAACGCTCAGCGGGGGGCAGCTCGATAGAACATCAAGACATGGGCGGTCGCAGATGGATCCTGTAGAGCCATCGCCGTGTGTTTGAGGCGGGATGGAGTGCTGAAGGGTCGATGGCGTTCCCGCTGCGCTGCGTTGCTGCTGCTTTGAAAAGGTTGCCGCCGCCCCAACACTGGAGGTTGCGCAAGACGCCCGTGGGGATCGCCCGCCCGCCGTGGTTCTTGGCGCCCGGCTTGCCCTGGACGGCCTGGATCGCCCTTCTTAGGTAATCGGGGACAGAAACCCATCCCGAGCCTGGCCATGCCTTATATTGTATTGCATTGCATTGCATTGCATTATTATTATTATTATTATTATTTTTTTTTAGCTCGTTGAATACCGTTCGCACGTCGAAACTGCACGATCGCTGGAAGGGCACCACCTCCAAAGAGACGGACATCCCTGCAAAACCAGCTGGACAATTCCAGGCAGCTTGCCACAACAGATCCGCGATCCATATGTCAGTTTAGGTATACGGTACGGAGTAGTATGGGAGAGCCAGTGTATAATTATAGGTGCCATTCAAGCCTGCACTTTGCTAAACACAAACAGGATATCCCTGTTATAGGAAAACTAACAGCCCAAATCGCACAAAGCAAGCCCGAGTAGTTCGCCTTTTTTTTTTTTTCTTTAGAACGCCGGATGCATGCTCCCAACTTTATATATGTTATTGTTTTACTTTTATATTCTTCAACGCACCTCACGCCCTCGTCTTCTTCTTTTCTTTCTTCTTCTTCGCCTCACCTCCATTTGGTGCTATCCCCTGTTGCGCCTGCATCTCCATCATCGCCTCCTTAAACGGGTTGTCGGTCACGCCGCCACCGCTGTAGGCCGGGGAGTGAAAGGGCAGGATAGTCCCCATCTTCCAGCCTCGCGGCGCAGACGGCGGGGGGAGCGGCTTCTCGGGGGTTGGAAGGCCACGGATGCGAAGGCGGTACGGTGACTTTTCGGTGGTGGGGTTGACTTGGAGGTAGTTTGCGATGAAGATATATAGATGATGCTCTGAGTTCGAGGGGCGTCAGCGGGGTTCACGGGCATGTAGCAGAGAAACTCAGAGGGTATGCAGAGAGAGGGGGGGAGGAGAGAGACACACTGTTTTTCACCTTCTCGTTAACTGGTTGGCCATCCTCGCGCTTCAGGTGCACGCGGACGCGGCCCGGGTTCGCCCAATCCTTTGGGTGTATTTTGTCGGGTTCGAAGCCGGCCTCGAGCCCTAGCAGCTGCACGGCATCGAGGATGTCTCTGGCCAGCGGATTCGCGACGGCGAGCTTCCTGGAGACCTTCCTACCCTCCACGCGCGACCGGGCCTTGTCAAAATAGACGGGGTATACGCATTGGTAGTGTCGCGGGATATCTCTGCGGGGTTGCGGTGGAGCCTGCGGGGTGGAGGAGGACATGGGGACGTTGGCCGGAGAGATGAGGGAGCTCTGGGCGGCATTCCGGGGATCAAAGTCGGCGGGATCCATCTCGTCAGGATCGGAGTCCGAGACATCTTCTACCCGGGCGTGGGACATTGTGATCCACGGGTCTTGCAAGCTGATGTATGTTGCAGCTTGTCTACTCTGTATCAGTAGAAAGAGGCTGAAGAGAGGTTAACAGGCGAAGATGCCCAGGTCTCCGAGACGGTGATAAATGTCGTGCTGTAACGTTTCCATGCCACTGCGCGTCCACCGCCCGTCGGCCGTCTGGTTCGGTGCCGGAGTATTCTTATCCCGAAACAACCGGGCTAGGTGTTAGGTAATCCAACTAGCACCTTGCTCATGTGACCCACATAGATTAGCTGAGATTCCTCTTTAGGTAGCTTAGTAAATGATAAGTATACAAGTTCTCTATCAGATTATAGCTCTTTGTGCTGAAGAGCAAGTGTATAAGATTGATTTACAGCTCAATTACTTATTGAAGCTTATGATTAACATTTTGAACAGTTATTCTTGTAGATAACAAGGTTTTACAAATACTAAAGAGAGTATACATTGAGATAGACATCTTCTATACATGCAACTTCTGTAGCTTTCTAGCATCTGGCTGGAGAGTGAGTTAATCTCTGTAGCTTTCTGGCACCTAACCAGAGAGTAAGCAAAACACCTGCTAAATACATCTAGCAAGCAAATCAAGTACCTGGCAACACCAAAGCCATGATAAACTGTATAAATGAACTGAAGCACCAAACTTCTAATCAGAAGACTTTAACAAATCACTCTACATCTTAAACTGAGCTTAGACAGTCAAGTAGACTTAGAGGCAGCCCACCAAATGATAAGCAAAAGTCTAGAAAGGAGAGTGAACTCCAAATATTATATAAAATAATACTGAATCAACAGAAGATGTGTGAGAATCATACATGTGAATTGGTGTGACAATAAATCTATAGGAGAAATTGTACATAGAAAAGAGTATGTGAGGTAAAAGGTCTGGTATTGGCAACTATGTATGACTTGTAAACAAGATTGTCACTGGCACTCAACTAGAGTAGTATCTGGTTCCAGGATTTCCTGTTCTGGTCCTGGATTCCCATCCCAATTCCTGTTCCAAGGATAGGATTGAGTTGAAGCTCAGCTCAACAGAATGGGACTGGATTGTTTAACAGCATATTGAGATGGTTCCATGGGAGCTGGAATTGGGATGGAAGTGGGACTGGAATCAAAATCTAGCTAATAGAACAGTCCTGGGACCTGGCCATGACAAAATGGGATAGGACTGGAATTTCAATATTGTATATGAGATGGGACCAGTAAAGTGTAGAATGGGACTGAGAATTCTGGTTCCATTTATATTGTCAAAAGATAACAAAATTTGATAACAGTCTGGATATACTTGAGTTGATTTACTAATCTTTACTTAATAATAGATTCATCTTGTTGTTAATGTAACTAACATCTCCCTCTAACTTACTGCACATTTCTGAGAATATCAACAAGAGAACCAGCACAAGATAATTCAAGATGTTTGCACAAGATGGAATTTCATCTATAAGATATATATTCATGTCTTGTTGCTTCAACAAGCTGTGAACTCATGGATTCAGAACTCATTACCAAAATATCAAAGGATTTACTTATTGGACCATGACTGGAAGCAGATAGAGTATATAGTTGAACTGTTGCAGCTATTCAGTCAATTTATCAAGATACTATCTAAAACAACAGGCTCAACAATTAGAGTGGTATCCAGTTCCAGAATTTCCTGTCCTGGTCCCGGATTCCTGTCCCAATTCCTGTCTCAAGAATGGGATTGAGTTGAAGCTCAGCTCAATGGAATGGGACTGGATTGTTTAACAGCATATTGGGAGAGTTGCATGGGAGCTGAGATTGGAATAGGATTGGGACTGGAATCAAAATCTAGCTAATAGAATGATTTTGAGACCTGGCCATGACAAAATGAGATAGGACCAGGATTTCAATGTTGTATATGGAATGGGACCAGTAAAGTGTAGAATGGGACTAGAAATTCCAGTTTCATTTGTGTTGTTAAAAGATAACAAAATTTAATAATGATTCTAACATAATTTTATTAATTTATTCAACTTTGGAAAAGTAATGAAATTTGATAATGCTCTTTATATAATTGAATTATATTGCAAGCTATTAAACTTTAGCTACTTGAGTCTATCTATTAATAACATTAACACATTTTCTATTTCTTATCTGAATTAAGTAGTGAATTTAGCAGGCTTGCAATCTCTTTCTGTACAATCTCTGGAGTATCTTAATTATCTTGATTGTCTTGAATGACTTTCTTGATCAACTTCTTATGTAATATGAGTGCTTCATCCAGCATATGTATCTTGTCTCCATGTTTAAGTAGCATGATCTTCTTGATTATAGATGTATGAAGCTGTAATTATTAATAATAATATGTATTCTGAGTAATATTGAAAATCTGTTCTATCTTAACTTCTGTTAAAGATACAGTCAGAATGTCTCTTGTCATCTAAGCAACAGTTAGAAAATCAGGCTCTAGCATTCTTTACTGTTTCAGAATTGGAGCTTGAGGTGATGTCAAATTCTTATTATTTAAATATTACTCCATTTCATTTTGGAAATTTGCTTGTCTTTAATAGAGTGTCTTAAAAATTATTTGCTTAATATTCTAGAGAAGTTAGCAGAGAGAAAATTAGAATAATACTTATAATAAATATACATTATTCACATCAAATATTACTTCTCTTGACTGTTCATATTTCTTATAATACTTTTTGTAAAACCTTAAAATATATTGTTGGTATGTTTTATACTTATTACTGGTTCAATTCTCTAAATCATATACTCTCATGTGGTGTAATGAATAGAGAGCAGCAGCTACAGCTAGCAGCTCACTCTTTAAATGCTCAGTATTACCATAGTATTTCTGGAATTTCAAGCTGACAGCTTTGATAGCTTCTTTAATATTCTCTCTTGTTGTTAACTGTTGAATCTTGTTCTTCTCTCTTTTTAAATACTGGAAAAGATGATTGTAGATTACTTATACTAGATGAATTATTGGGCCTGTTGTTTTGGACAGTATCTTGATAAATTGACTGAATAACTGCAACAGTCCAACTATATACTTTATCTGCTTTCAGTTATGGTTCAATAAGCAAAGTCTTTGATATTTTAGTAATAAGTTCTGAATTCATAAGTCCACAGCTTGTCAAAGCAACAAGATACAAACACACATCTTATAGATGGAATTCTATCTTGTGTGAACATCTTGAATTATCTTGTGCTGGTTCTCTTGTTGATATTCTTAAAAATATACAGCAAGTTGAGGAGAGATGTTGATTGCATTGGCAACAAGATAAATCTATTGTTAAGTAAAGATTAGTAAATCAACTCAAGTATATCAAGACTATTACTAAATTTCATTATCTTTCTAAGAGTATTTGCAAATGTATCTGTTGATGCTAGATTATCAGTAATTGAGCTCTTATTAAAGATAGTAAGTAGAGTATTATTGTCTGGCTGAATCTTGAGATTGCAAACCAGCTCTCAAACTACAAGTTCAATTACATAAGTAAGACAGAATATTATCTTACTGTCTGTATTTCAATCAGTTATCTTGTTCAACTGCTGCAATGCTGGCCTCAACTGATATGTAAGATATGCTCACATGATACTATTGTTTAATACATTATCACTTGTAATTATAAGAAGATTGCTCTCAAGTCTTCATGCTACTAATAATTATTAGAGAATTTCTATTATATTCTTGTCAGTATAAGTATTCTTTAAACTTTCAAAATCCAGTAAATGCTTATAGTACTTTCAATTCTTTGTAATGTAATAACCATCAATTGCTATAAAGACAAGATTATTGAAACTTGTCCAATTATCTACTACCAGAAATACCTTAGTTGTTGAATCATGGTTAAAGAGAAGATTTTGGAATAGCTGATTGTATATATCATTTATAATCTGATATAATGTTTCTTGTGTAAGTATCTATAATGCCATTGCAGGATTAAGGATAGTTATTAATATGCAGAATGCTAGATTCTTAATAACACAAAATGAGAGATTCAAGAATATTAATGTTTATACAAGCTGCTGGAGAAAATTATCTTAATTGCATTTGAGAACAGGCAGATCTGAATCTGTTCAAGAACACTTCAGAAACTGTTGCTAAGATACCAGAACTGTTACTAAAATTTATTATATTTGGGAAATTAGAATTCATGATCTATCATCATGTTAACCAGAGTGTTATTCTGTCTATTATTAGTTTTTATACAATCTTTGCTGGTTAAATGCTTCTTCAGATCACTTATATTATTTCAAGAAAAGCTTGAATACCTGAAAAAGATTTAACAATACTTGCAAATCACTTTTGAAGTACTCTTAGAATGCTCTGCCATCTGATCAAATTTTAACTAAGAATCAGAATGACATTGCTTTGTCTTCCAGTTGGGGTCACCACAGTTCTTATTCTTAATCAACTAAGCAGCTTTAGTAGTTAACCACCAAGTAACAAATAACTTATAATGCTGCTTCTTCTACAATACAAATTGTTTTTTTTTATATTGAACTATAGTCAATTCTGAAGAAATCTCTGTAGATTTTACTTGATTACTGGCTTCAGTTATTTAATTAGGTTTTTTTTTTTCACAATTAAATTGATTTTTCTCTGAGTTCTGTCTTAGTCAAAAAAGTAACAAAATTTGGTAACAGTTCAAGCAAAATTTGATAATCTCCAGCTAGTTAGACTCATTCTACTCTGTACAGTAATTAACTACAAAATCATTATTATCTACAAAATGGAACATTCTTCTTCAGGAAAATAAAACATTTTACTAATTTAATGACATTCCATTCTCAAATTAATATAAAAAAAGAACTAAAAATCTAACTTTCTTCTCTAGATATTAATAATTCAATCATCATTCTTCTCATCATTCTTCTCATCATTCTTCTCATTATTCTTATCAGAGGACACCACAATCTTAAAATCATCTTTCTTCATCTTCTCTGAGATAGGCAGACTGTTGTTATCTTTAATCAGATTCTGTAATTAGCTCAGAGATTCTCTCATCTTCTTCTCAATTCTCTCTCTTGATACACTTACCACAGCAAGATAATCATAATTATAGTTCATGACCTTGATCTCAAGCTTGACTATCATTTGTCAGAATCAGGCCTGCTTATATGCAGCAATAAAATGCTGCAGCTGGCTTGTTTTAACTTAAATATGTCAGAACTGTTACCAAATTTTATTACTTTTAGATTCTATCTTTTTGTTCTGCTAAGCTTCATTCTTAACCTCTGTAGCCTTTTCTTGACAATGCTTCTTCTCCTGTTCCCTTTTCTTTTTCTAAGATTGACTTGCTCTTGACAAATTACTTGATCATTAACTATTTAATAGCTTTATTCTTAATTATCTTGTGATTCTTCTCACTGCTATTCTGCCTGTAATGAATGTCAATATAATTTAATACAAATTACTAAGAGTGCATATCACTCATGCTTGGCTCAGATTCTCTTCAGCATGTTATAGTGTATCTTGTGATCTGTCTCTTCTATCTTGAATATATCTTTTTAATAATCTTTCAAGACCTGGTGGTGCTTCTGTACCATATAGATCTTCTCTCTTATTGAATATTATTTTGGCCCTGTTTTCATGATTATATGCAATGAATTGAATTGAAGACACTGTATAATGAAATTATAGAGTATATTAATTAACTACTTGTATAGAATGATTACTATACATATTGTTTATATTCTACAAGCACATTACTATAGGCAAGCTCCACATATTGTTGCTATGCTGGCTACAGAATAATGAGAATATGAAGTGTATTAATCTAGTACTTGTATAAAATGATTACTATATATATTGTTTACATTCTATAGGCATGTTGCTATAGGCAAGCTCAATATTTTATTACTATACTGGCTGCAGAATAATAATATAAGATCAGTCTCTCTTCTCTTCTCTTTCTCTTTCTCTTCTTCTTCTTTTTCTTCAGGGCTACTGTTGACAATTTTTTCTTCTTCTCTGATTATTTACTGTTCTATAAATCTTCTGTACAAGAATCTGTGCTGTAATAAAATAAGTTATATTAAGAGATGAGTGCTTGCAAAATACTGCTCTGGTATATATTATTTACTGACAAGATGTTAGTTTTCTCTGTATATATCTATTTTGTACAGCTGGAGAGAAGCAGTACAAGACTGTATTAAAAGAATGAGCTCTGAAGAAGAGTAATTAGTATAAAGTTAATAAAGACATTAATCTGGTTAACTTTAACCAGAAGAACCTCTGCCCCTGCCACTCAATTCATAATTGGAAGTCTGGCACTTGTATATCAAAAAGTAACAATTTTTGGTAACAGTCTTGATGCTAATTAGTAAAATAGGTGTCATCAAGAAGATCTGTCACTTCCAGAGCTCTACAGAGCTAATTCTTCTGGTGATTCTGTTCCAGTAATTGATTTGGAAAATTACTTTATTCTATCATCAAGAACATGAATATTACTGGCAACATTCTGCTATTAAGTTACTTCAGAAGACTGCTGAAGTAATCTTGTGCACTTTATTTGAGTGTAAGTTATCATTAACAATGGCACCAACAATTATACTAAGTAATATAGACTCTGTTATGGCAATGGTATACTGTAAGTATATTATAGTTAACATCAACAACATAAAGCTTGTTCTTGGTATCAGTACCATGACCAGGTCAAACTATTTCAGTCTGATTGATGCATCTAATCACTCTGTCTCTGCTGCTTCTGTTTTTGCTGTCACTATCTGCCATTTGCATTCTGCTTCTGCTCTACCAACTACTGCTGCTGCTTCACCATCACCATCATCACTCACCACTGCCTCTCTGTCTTCTGGCACCAACAGAGTCTCTGCCTGTCAAATGGTGAATATTAGAGCCCCTGCCCAGTTCACAAAGCTGGTTCTGGAGAAGCAGAAGAAGAAGAAGAAGAAGAAAAAGAAGAAGAAGAAGAAGAAAAGAAAGAAGAGAGAGAAGAAGAAGAAGAGAAAGAAGAAGAAAGAGAAAGAGAATTATGATAATGATGAGAATAATAATGATGACAAGAACAATAACAATAATGATGATAATGAACTTGCCATTTAGACAGTTTCTAGTTATTTGCTGGCTTCAGCCATTACTTAGTTTTAATACTTTGTTTTTTTCTTTTACAATCAAATTGATTTTTCTAAGAGTTCTGCCTTCATCAAAAAAGTAACAAAATTTGGTAATAATTTCACACAAAATTTGACCAGTTTGACTCTTGACACAATAGGGCCAGGAAATCTGGTCCCATTCTGGTCTCACTATAAATCTGGCCAGAATGGGAAATAAGAGCCTATCTTCTCTGCTGGAATAGAACATGGGACATAAGTTTCTATTTGAGAATAGGACTGGAAAATAATTTATGGAGTAGAGATGGTAATAAGATCTCAAGCTCTTGAGTAGAATAGAACATGGAACTGAGATTTCATATTTGGGATTCCAGCTATTTCTAAATTCAGAACTGGGATGAGCTTTAATGAGAAATGGAATCCTGTTCTGGTTCTAAATACCAGCTTACCAACAATTCATCTAGTATAGACAATCTACAATCATCTTTTCCAGCATTTAGAAAGAGAGAAGGACAAGGTCTAACAGTTGACAACAAGAGAGAACATTAAAAAAGCTATCAAAGCTGCCAGCTTGAAATTTCAGAAATACTATAGTGATACTGAGCATCTAAAGAATAAGCTGCTAGCTGTAGCTGCTGCTCTCCATTCATTATACTGCATGAGAGTATATAATTCAGAAGATTGAATCAGTAATAAGTGTAAAATATACTAACAATACATTTTGAGGTTTTACAAAAAGCATTATAAGAAATATAAACAGTCAAGAGAAGTAATACTTGATGTAAATGATGTATATTTGTTATAAGCATTATTCTGATTTTCTCTCTACTAACTTCTCTAGAATATTGAGCAAATGATTTTTGAGAGATCTTATTAAAGACAAGCAAATTTTCAAAATGAAATGCAGCAATATTCAAATGATGAGAATTTAATATTATCTTGAGCTTTAATTCTGGAACAGTAAAGAATGCTAGAGTTTGATTTTTTAACTGTTGCTTGAATGACAAGAGACATTCTTGCTGTATCTTTAACAGGAGTTGGAGTAGAACAGATTTTTAATGTTGCTCAGAATACATGTTATTATTAATAATTATGACTTTATGCATCTACAATCAAGAAGATCATGCTACTTAAACATAAAGACAAGATGCATATGCTGAATGAAGCACTCATATTATATAAGAGATTGGCCAAGAAAGTTATTCAAGATAATCAAGATAATCAAGATTCTTCAGAGATTATACAGAAAGAGATTGCAAGCCTGCTAAATTCACTACTTAATTCAAACAAGAAACAGAAAATGTGTCAACATTATTAATAAATAGACTCAAGTAGCTAAAGTTTAATAGCTTGCAATATGATTCAATTATGCAAACAGTGTTATCAAATTTCATTACTTTTCTAAAGTTGAATAAATTGATAAAATTATATTAGAATTATTATCAAATTTTGTTATCTTTTAATAATACAAATGGGACTGGAATTTTCAGTTCTATTCTACACTTTACTGGTTCTGTCCCATATATAATATTGAAATTCCAGTTCTATTCTATTTTGTCATGGCCAGATCCCAGAATTGTTCTATTAGCTAGATTTTGATTCCAGTCCCAATTTCATTCTGATTCCAGCTCTCATGGAACTGTTCTAATATGCTGTTAAATAATCTAGTCCCATCCTGTTGAGCTGAGCTTCAACCTGATCCCATTTTTGGGACAGGAATTGGAATAGAAATCCAGGACTGGGACAGGAAATTCCAGAACCAGATACCACTCTAGAAGGAAAGAAGTACAACTCAATATTAGTAATCACCAACAGATTGACAAAATATGGATACTTTATACTGTTCAGAGAGGTAACAACAGCAGCAGATATAGCAATAATGGTACTACAAAATATACTCACCAATCACAGAATGCCAGAAGAGATAATTACAGATCAAGATACCAGATTCACAAGCAAATTCTGGATAACATTAATGACATAACTGGAGATTGAACAAAAAATATCAACAGTCTATTATTCACAAACAGATGGACAGACAGAACAATTGAACTAAATCTTGAAGCAATATCTGCAAGAATATGTTAACTATCAACAGAATAATTGAGTCATACTACTATCTATAATATAATTGGCTTACAACAGAGCAAAAAATGCCACTACAGAAATGACACTATTCTACATGAACTACAGCAGAAAGCCAGAAATATAAAAACAATCAAGAATTGCATGACAAAAAGCTCAAGAAGCAGAACTTACAGCAACACAACTACAAGAACTGCAAAACCAAATGAGAATAGATATTGAATTCCTGAACAAGAGAATGAAGCACTACTATAACAAAAAGTACCAGAAGGCACCAATCTTGAAAGAGAGAGAAAAAGTATTTCTAATTTGACAAAATATCAAAACCAAAAGATCTAGCAAAAAACTTGATTTCAAAAAATTGAGACCATACAAAATTACAAGACAGATCAGAAAAGTCAACTACAAACTTCAACTACTTAAAAAGATGAGAATACATCCAGTATTTCATGTCTTATTATTGGAGAAAGCACCATTATACACTAAAGAAATGCCCACAGAGATTAATAAAGAATGAGAATACAAAGTCAAATAAATACTGAATCATCAGAAGATTAGCAGAAAACTTCACTATCTAGTGAAATGAAAAGAATATAATATCTCAGAAAACACCTGGAAATCAACAGAAAATCTCAGAAATGTCCAGACAATTATTATAACATATCATCAATAATACTCTCATCCAGTAAAGCATTAACAAATAAATTAAAGACAACCAGAAGAGAACTCAAGAAAGAAAGATTACTTAATAAAGCAAGCAGACTCTGAATCTCTGTCTGCTCAGTTACTTTTTTCTGCTTCTTCTTCTCAAGATATTTCAAATTCTCCACAGACTTCAACTCAGATTCAAGAAATTTGCCAGCCCAGTTACAAAGCAACTTTTTCTGTTTTTGAAGACAAAGAAGACAAGAGAGAGTTTCTTGCTCAGTATGCTCAAGTTTGTTCTGAGTCTCAAATAATTTCTGTTAATCAGCAGCAGAAGAACCATCATCATGAATATAATAGCAACTAGTACAAATACATTTACTATATCAAGAAGAATGACTCAATTTTAAGCAAGTTTTACCTAATAAAGAGCATTAAGAGTAAGAAGAAAGCATCACAAATCCAGATTACATAATGGCAGAAAGAAGATTATTCTTGCAAATATTAGAAGCAGACAACATGGTGAAAGAAAACCATGAGAACACTCACTAAGAAGAAAGACAAGAGAAAACCAGAAATTCAAGAAAGAGAGAACACTTTTTTATACTCTAAAAAGCAACAGGCAGAGTGGTTAAGAACAATATACTGTAAAAGAAGAGAATGATGTTATGAATTCTGCAGCATAGCAACAGAACATACAGAATGATTAGATAATATCTGATAAGATAGAATTACAGACTATTACAGAAGAATCTTAAGCTGAGAATCATGTAACTAATAATAGAACTGATAAGCTGATCAATTACACCAAGCATAATAGAATTGATTGGAGAACATAACAGACATATTAAAATAGAATAAATAGAACAGCTTAGCAGAACTATTACCAGAGAAGTATCATGTATATAAGAATACTTATTACCAGAGATTTAATAAACTTGTTCATCATGATTAATCTTCTTACTTATTTACTAGATATCTTTGAATCAGATACTTTCATATCTTGGTTACTTTCCATATTACTGAAGTCCTGTAATACTGTACAACTGTACCTGATTCTACTACTCTTGAGAAGGCTCCATAGTCTTGCTCTGACTCTGTCATATCTGCATGGAAACTCTTTGTCATCAGAGCAAGACTGCCAGCTCAACTGAAGCACCATTGAACTATTGATCACTACCCCAATCTGTTATTACTCACTGTGATACCTCTTGACCTCCAAAGTTCCAAGAGTGTCACACAAATATATAACATAATGGTAATGAGTGTACATCATAGTATAGTGATATTAGAACCCTGAATGATAGTACTTTGATTGATCTGATATAAAGTTAACTTCAGTTTGTTGAATTGTACTAACAGATGTGGATCAAAAATGTAGAAACTTGTTAATATTAAGAATATTGACTTGAAGCATATTTATAACCTTACAAACAAGATATCTGATGTTGATGGAGACAATAAGAATAACAGAAACAATAGAGCTGACAGAGACAACAGAGATAACAGAAATAATGAAGATGTTGAAAAGAGCAGTTCTTATACTCTTGAGAATACAGAGCACAAGAAGGCCAGAAAATAATAATTGATGAGTAAAGCTTTCTTAATCTAGTCATATAGCATGAAATAGTCAGGCTGTACAGCAAGATTAATAGCATTAAAAAATGTATATGAGATTCTGTATAATTGTGTTTTTCACATCAGTAGTAGTGAATTACCTGGCTGCATCACTAGATTTATTTTCTACAGCAAAGTTAAGAGCAACATATTCATTGTCATCTCTGGTATTAGCAGCAGCAGTGTGAAATGAAATATTAATGCATTTAATAATAGTATTGTTTATATTAATTGTAATAGTAATCATATAAGCAACACTATCAGTGAAGTAAACAAAAATATTAATAATATCTTTATTGCTGTTATTGACACCAATGTGAAAGAAAGCAGCTTGTACAGATTAATGAAAAATAACAGATCTAGTAGATACAACAGAGTTGTTGAAAATAATAACATTTACAGAACATGCTAAATTAACAGCAGATGTGGTAAAGATACTTATTATATTAGAAGTTGCCTAGGACCATGGCAGAGAAAAATATTTACCAGAGTAAGTTGTGTGCTCATTCAGAATGAGTTCAGAAAAGTAATATAAGTACAGACACTCTTGCTATCTAGACACCTGGAGCTAGCCCCAGGCCTGATAGGGATTTGCTGATGCTGTTATAATAATGATACATTATAAGCATATTACAGTTAATGCTGATGACATGAAGCTTATTCTTGATATCAGTACTATAACTGGATTAAACTATTTCAGTCTGATTGATATATCTAATTACTCTACTTCTGCTGCTCCTGTTTCTGCTATCATCACTTACTGTCTGTGTTCTGCCCTCATCTTATTAACTACTGCTGCTTCTTCACCACTACTGCTATTATTCACTACTATCTCTCTGCTTCTCTTCAGCACCAACAGAGTATCTGTCTATTAAATAACAGATATTAGAGCTTTTGTCCAATTTATAAAGCCAGTTCTGGAGAAGCAGAAGAAGAAGAAGAAGAAGAAAGAGAAGAAGAAGAAAAAAAAGAAGAAGAAGAAAGAAGAGAAGAAGAAAGAGAAAGAGAATTATAATAATGATAAGAATAATAATAATGATAAGAATGATGACAATAATAATAATGATGAACTTACTATTTAGGTAGTTTCTAGTTATTTACTAACTTTAGTCATTACTTAGTTTTAATACTTTGTTTTTTTCTTTTACAATCAAATTAATTTTTCTAAGAGTTCCACCTTCATCAAAAAAGTAACAAAATTTGATAATGGTTCCACACAAAATTTAACCAGTTTGACTCTTGATACAATAGGGCCAGAAAATCTAGTTTCATTCCAGTTCTACTATGAATCTAGCTGGAATAGAAAATGAGAGCCTATCTTCTCTACTGGAATAGAATATGAGAGATAATTTTCTATTTGAGGACAGGACCAGGAAATACTTTATAAGATAGAAATGGTAACAGGATCTCAAGCTCTTAAGTGAAATAGGACATGAGACTGAGATTTCATATTTGGAATCTCAGCTATTTCTAAATTCAGAATCAGGATAAGCTTCAATGAGAAATAGAATCCCATTTCAGTTCTGAATACCAGCCTAATAAATCTTGCTTGTACAGAGGAATTATTTCTCTATATCTTTAGCAACAGATTCAACATGCTTATAGTTAATTTATTATAGATCTTTTCATCTTTCATTACTGTATTTATACACACATGAAGAATTCAGAATCTTCTGTAATTTCTATATTGAGTCTTTCCAGCATCTCTGACTAGTGCTTCTTGAACTAACTTAATTATTGTCTTGGTGTCACCAGATCTCCTCTGCACTATCTCTATTCTGCTGCTTTGAACAGCACAAGCAGCACATCTTTAGATATCTTCTTTATTAAAGAAAGTTCTTTTGAATGGGTTTCACTTTAAAACACTATCTGTATCATGTTATCTTTAAATATCTTCTTTATTAAAGAAAGTTTCTTTGAATGAGTTCTACTCTGGAACATCATCTGCATTAATTACTTGAGTATATATGTTAGCAGACTAACATTCTCTTCTAGTTTAATATAGTCCAGTCTTTATAATAATATGTCAGCTGGATTATGCTTTCTAGAGTAATAGAAAATCTCAAAGTCATATGCTCTGAGAATCTCAATTCATCTTATGTGTTGTTGTTATACTATCTTGTTTATGAACTTTATGAATAAATAAAGATTTGCATAATCTGTAATAATCTCTACAGAATACTTTGTCTCTTTTAAGTATTGCTGTTAATAAACAAATGCTTGAATAATGACTAACATCTTCTTATCTAATGTGTTATAGACTTGTTGAGCCTGATTAAACTTGAATGACCAGTAAGTAACTGAGTGCTATTCATCTTCAAATAGATGTAGCAATATTATACCTGTAGCATATTCTGAAGTATCTGTCTCCAGACATATTCTATATTTTGAATTGTAGTGCTGGATAATAGACTTTCTGAAGAAGACCACCTGCAACTTGCAAAATACTTCTCTAGCAGCAGATATTAGAAGAAAAGATTCTTTCTTCTGTTCATTTGCACTGCTCTTCAAGAGATCTGTCAATAGCACCACAATAACTAAATACTTATGTATGAACCTTCTATAAAAGTTTACTTGAAACCCAGAAATATCTGAATATTATGAAAGCTTTATGGTAAAGACTACTTTATAATTATCTGTACCTGCTTTAAATCTATCTTAATATCTTTGATATCAATAATATAACTGAGGTACAAGATTGTTTATTTTTTGAAAGTGTACTTAGCAAACTTTGCAAACAACTAATATTTTCTTAGATGCTTCATAACTAATCTAATGTGCTTCTCATGCTTCTTCTCTGAGACTGAGAAGATAAGAATATTGTCTAGATAAACTACACAGCATATATCTATCAGGTCTGCTAGTACTCTATTGATATAAAACTGGAAGATCACTAATGTATTTGATAATCTGAAAGACAAGACAAGATACTTAAAACTCTCAAACTTTGTATGAAATATAATCTTTCATTTATTCTCTTCTTTAATTCTAATCTGATGGTAAATATTATGTAGATTCATCTTGAAAAATTAATATGCTTCCACCAACCAGCTTAATATCTTGTCTATCAATAACAGAGAGTAATGATTCTTTACTGTAACTGTATTAAGACTATAATAATTAATATAAAGTCTGAGTTCTCTATTAGTCTTGAGTGCAAATAACACTAAAGTCTCTGCCAAACTTTATGATGAATGTATCCAACTCTTATAAAGCTTGTTCTTGATATACTCTTATAGAATCTCTGTCTGCTTGAGTGATAGTTTATAGATTAGCATGTATGAAAGTTTACAGCTGTCTTTAAGAATAATTAAATAACTAATCTTTATTAATTCTAGTAATTCTGCTACTTTTTCTTCTGAGAAAATATCTTTATAGTCTCTCAATCACTCAGGCACCTCTGTCAGAACTTGATTGTTATCTGATGTAAAAATAGTATAGAAGAATTTATTCTTGATATATACTGCTTGAAGAAATTTATCTGTACTCAGAAGTTTCATTATTTTCTCTGAAGATTGATAATGTCATATCTTGTTCTTTCAGTTAATGTTTAGATTAAAATCTGTCAATTATAGCATATCTAGAACTATATTCACATCAACCATATTAATTACTGTGAATGTTTGTCTTACCATCTTTGTAATTCTCATGAAGTCTATTATAGTGAGTTGAGTCTTGTAGATGCTATACTAGTCAGCCTTAGCTCTATTTAACATCTCAATGACTTCTATAGATATTTCTGACTGATCCTAGTTTAATTAAAATGCCAGTTTGTAGAAAATACTGTCCACTATAGTATCTGAGTTCAACAGTGCAGCTTGTTCCATGAAATCACCTGATAATATAGTTAGTATGGTCAACAGGCACATACTGTGCCTGCTTGCCTTCTCTAGTGAATTAATATCCTGTCTCTTTAATATTTAATCTGATTCATGCATGGGTTTTGTGGCTCTAGTTTTCACCTGATTCTTGTTCTTTTTGTCTCTCTACTGGAACTTGTTGAAGTTATTTGTACAGAACTTTGTTCTATAATCTGATTAACTACATTCTAAATAAAGCCTTTTCTTTATTTGTTGTTTGTGTTTCTCTTCAGATATCTTTAGAAGTGGTTTTACAGGTGTCTTCTTTAACTATTGTAGTGGGGATTCCGGTACCATATTAGGACAAAGGTTGTTCCGGTCCGAGGCGCAAAACCCCCCCAGCTACTATCTCTGAGCTATATAAACCACCCATAACCCCTGCATCTCACTCAATACCTTCGCGCACCTTTGTACTTTTCCACACACTCATTCTTTATTGCTAGTTTGGTTATTAGTTAGAGAATATGAAGATCTCTTGTTCATGAAGCTTGCCACTGTTCCTCATTAGAGCTGCCTGTGTTAGTACAGGCTCTTTAGTACTATTATTCCTTATGAGCTTAGGCATCCGTTAAGGCATGCTTCTCTGTTCTTACTACTCAGCCATTACCATCCTTACTATGTTGTGATTTTTCATTCTTCTTGTGCTCTCACCATCTCAACCAACTCGCCTACTTTGACAAGGCATCCCATCATACCCCACTTCATTTGGTGACCAAGCTGAGACCTGAAGATGATGATGCGGTGATTTGGTGGCTGCCAAGAAAGAAAAACAAATTCTGAGACACATGAAGCAATACACTATTTCAAGGTAAGATCTTATGGACTAGGAATACAGTACTAATCAGGTTTTTGTTTAGGAACAAGGTTAGGGAGCTTAGATTTGAATGGCTCTTATCTAAAGCTTGCCCGATAAATAGGTTTTTTGGAAAGATATTGAATCATTGAGAAACAACAGAATATACTGTGTGACATGACCAAAGATCAAGAAATCAAGAAATCAGGATCAGAATCAACTATGGTTGAAGGTACTACAGGATCATACACAACTATGTCACAAGGTGAGGACAGGAGAATTGTGGTTCACTCCCACATTTCTATGCCTTCCCCTGGCACAGCAAATGCACCTTGATTTGATGGCAGAGATGCTACCTTGTTTATTGAAAGGTTTTATCAAATGTGCAAGGATCATGGGGTAATTGACCCTAAGAACATTATTGAACAGTTGGCTAGGTACTGTGTTACATGGATTGGAGAATGAATGAAGACCTTAGAAGGCTACAAGAAAGGTAATTGGGAAGTATTCTCTAAAGAGATTATTCATGAATTTTGTGATCAGGACATTACTTACAAGATTCACCATCAGGATTATCTTTAAGCAATTACAAAGAAACTGTGTGCTTGGGATAGCAACATTCACACCTATGTTTGAGAATACACCACTATTGCTAGTACAGTACAAGTCAATGGAAGGCTTGATGAATTCACTAAGGTGTCTTGGTTCCTTCAGGGGCTGCCCGAGAAGCTCCAGAATAAGGTTATTGACAAGACAAAGCTCAATCTTTCAGACAATATGTCACCTATTGATTTTAGGAAGGTTGTTTGAGTGACCATGGATTTGATCAACCAGTATGAAGGGAATAAGAAGGTCTTTGAAGAAGATGAAATGAAGCAGAAGGAAATGGAGAAGCTTGATGAGTGATATCAATTAGCTAACAAATCCCCTACAGTTGAGGCTCTGAAGAAAACAGCTAGTTCTGTGAAGACTGAAGAATCTGAATTGAAATTCAAAGCCAAGAGCTCTGAGAGCACCAATATTGAAGCTGTAATTGAAAAGATGACCAACAAGTTTACAAATTTGGCATTGGCCATGAGAGTACAGTCAAATCAGATACAAGAGAATTCCAATCAGTACTATATGCTGCAGAGAGAAGAGCCTCTGAAACCCATACCAAATTATACAACAAATGTGACTACTAATTCTGCAACAGTACAAGAGAACACCCAACTGCAATTAGTCAATCCTTATGTGGCTTGAAATGGTTTGCTGATGACAAGCTATTGTTCTAGTGGCTGAGGAGGAGCTCAAACTGGAGGAATTTTGACATGTCCCTCATGCTTTTACTGTAGAAAACCTGGACACTGTCAATCTCAGTATTATGAATACCAATCTGATGTGAATAACAGGTTCTGTCATATTGATGATGAAGAGAACTTGCGCATGG